ACCACCAGAGAATAAGAAACAACAAGATCAAACACTTAAATCCGATAAACAACAAACATCCTCATCATCTACATCATTCAATCGAAATCCCACTCTTAAGAGTAAATATTTTCAAACAACAATAACAACTCCACCATCGACTTTAAAATCATTAATCTCTGATGAGCATAATGAAAGATATGACATTCCCGATGAGTTGAAAATAGATAGTGCATTACCAGAGGAAAAGATACCAATAGCTTCTTCATCTGTAGTTGTCAGTAATAGTAGTACAAATAGAAATGGAAAAAGATCTATGGTTAGCCTCTTTAATAATAGGACATCACTTAGCGATGATGATGATAGTGAGGAAGAGGCACCTATTTCAACAGAAGTGCCCATTTCAAAAAAGAAAAAACCAAATAAGCCTTCTGAAACAATGGAGCCAATAGTAATTTCTAGTATGATGTCGGAAATACAATCGATACCTGATGAAGAAGAAATAATACCAGTAACAATAACACCTGAAAAACCCAAAGAGAAAATCACAGAAAACAAGGTAGAGAAAACCCCTGATAAACCTGTGAATTTAAATGTTGAAGTTATCACACCATCTCCCTCTAAAATAGATCCGATCAATATTAAAATTGAAAAGTGGAATGATGAATGGAAACAAATAACTGAGAGTCATAGAATTTCTTGTAATAATTTATTTGAGGAAGTATTTAATGAACTGAAAAAGGAGTGGGCGTTAAAGGAGGAGAACAAAAGTCGATTCAAACAGGGATTGGAATTAGCTGGAAAATTAATGAGTAATAATTCACAGAAAGCCAGATTATTCTATCTGACTCTTTCGTACTACATATTATTCGAGAAGAAGGATATTCAATTAATTGGATATTTATATGATTCATTAACGGGAAACATGGAATCAAATCCTTTGTCCGTTTCCGTAGATTTTTCGAGCATTGAATTTGAGATTGTTTGTAAGGAATTTGCTGATAGGAAAGACATTCTTACTCTCCTCAAAAAGTATCATTCATTAACATTAATTGCAAAAGCCAAACGAACAACCACTGACGATCAAACCAATTCAAGACTCAGTCAATTAACAAAAATATTTAATCACCAATACAGTGAAATAATGAAACATCAAGCAAAGGAAAAGAAATAATGGATTATTACAATTCTTCAAATGGCTTGATTGTTCGGCTATTTCACAAATGGAAAGTTATTCAAAAATATCAAAAAATAGAGATTGAGAAAAATAACCAAAATGCAACAATGCAATTATCTCATCGCTTGTCTATTACTGGATTCATCACTATAATAAGCCAGCATTATTACCTCCAATCTGGTTTTGCACATGAAATAAATGTGATTGAATCGATTCGATAATTATTAATAACTACTGCACGTGAGATAGCTTTTACAAGTTTTTTTCGCTTGTTTTCTCCGGATGAGCTCAAAAAGTGGCGATGAGTCACACTCGTATTTTTTATTGATAAGAAAAAAAATGTCCAATACTGAAGAACAAAAAAGCGTAGAGCAACAAGTTGAAGCTGTTACCTCTCAACTCGAGGAAACCACAATTTCTCAACAACCTTCAGGTCCAGTCACTGAACTTACTGAAGAACAAGAAGCAAGATTCAATTTGATTAGAAGTGTTGGTGAAGAATGTATTCAAGAAGATGAACTCCGTGTTCTCATCAAGAATAAGAAGGAACAAATTATTTGTTATGACGGTTTTGAACCATCAGGCCGTATTCACATTGCCCAAGGTGTTATGAAGGCTATCAATGTTAATAAGCTTACCAAGGCTGGATGTAAATTCATCTTTTTGGTTGCCGATTGGTTCGCTCTCATGAATAACAAGATGGATGGTGATTTGGAAAAGATTCAAACTGTTGGTAAATACATGATTGAAGTATGGAAGAGTATTGGTATGGATTTGAATAATGTCGAATTTGTTTGGAGTAGTGAAATTATTAACAAGGACCCTAACACTTATTGGTTAAATGTCCTTGATATTGCTCGTAATAACAATTTGGCCCGTATTAAACGTTGCTCACAAATTATGGGTCGTAACGAAGCCGAAGACTTGAGTGCTGCTCAAATCTTTTATCCATGTATGCAATGTGCTGATATCTTCTATTTGAAGGCTGATATCTGTCAATTGGGTATGGATCAAAGAAAGGTCAACATGTTGGCTCGTGAATATTCCGAATTGAAGAGAAAGGATAAGAAGACTAAATCAAAGTTCAGATTCTCTCCAATCATTCTCTCTCACCACATGTTGCCAGGTTTGGATGGTTCAACAAAGATGGCCAAATCTAATCCACTTGCTGCTATTTTCATGGAAGATAGTGAAGCTGATGTCAATAAGAAAGTTAAGAGTGCTTTCTGTGAACCAGGTAATATTGAAAAGAACCCACCTCTTGAATATATCAAACATATTATTTTACCAATGAGAGGTGAACTTTTGATTGAAAAAGACGAAAAGTTCGGTGGAAATAAGACTTACACAACCTATGAAGAAATTGAAAAGGACTTTGCTGAACAAACCTTGCATCCTTCTGAACTTAAGCCAGCTTTGTCTAAGGCTATTAATGCTATCCTTGCCCCAGTCCGTGAACACTTTAAGAATGACCAAAATGCTAAGAGTTTGTTGGAAAAGGTTCAAAAGTTCAAGGTTACAAAATAAATTAATTTATTCATCCTTTTACATATGAGCTCGCCTAATCATCTTCATCCTGCTCTACAATACTTGAAGTTGAATAGTTGGATTTTTCACTAATGAGTGGACAATGTTTATCCATCATGTATCGTTGATAGGTAAATTTGAACGGTGACAATTCAGTATTTTCAGAAAGGATTGCATCAGTGTGTGGTTGTTGATGAAGGTGAATACTCTCATTAGAGTTTGATTTCCTAATATTGTTAATCAAACCATTGCTTAACCGTCTATTTGGTGAATGAGGTCGGGCAAGTGTTGCACTTGGGAAATGATGACTAGTTGGTAAAGCTGATAAATGATGATCATTGCTGTGAATATGGTGCGAAATTACAATACTTCCAGTTCTGTGATGACCTGTTGTAGCAGTTGTTGTGGTTGAGTGGGTAGTTGTGGATTCATTGGTTGGGTGAGGTGGTGGTGGTAATGGTATTGTTTTGTTCTTCCTCATTGCGAGATATTTCATCATTTCCTCAAATTCTCGTTCCTCTTCTCTTTTCATTTTCTTGTGCTCCACAAACCATTGAGGTAAATTACCTGATGACTCTGTAGGTAGAGTGACAAGGTCTGTATCAAACATTTCTATAAATTGTTGATCAATGTGGCGAGAATTATTTCCAGCAAAACATTCATATTCAGTAAAAATTGAGGTCAGTGACCAGTCCTGTAACTTTCTCAGACATCCAATGAGAGTTCCTGTTAAATGAATTCCAGAGGAGCAAACTACCATAATGGGATGATATGATTTGTCCATTAAAATCTCCAGAGCTTCCTTTATGAGATCATCTGTACAATGTTTAGTATTATAAATTTCATCGGTAAATCCCAATCCTTTTGAAGAAGAAATATTAGAGAGTGAAATATTATTAATAATTTGTAAAGCAGGAGGAATTGGAGAGACTGTATTATTTGCAAGACTTGGATAGGGTGTTGATGATGATGTATTTGTTTGATTCGATGTAGTATTGACTACAGTTGTGGTAGTTGAAAGTGAAGAATTTGATGAAGGTGAAAAGAGGCTTGGTTTAGGACTAGATCCATTAGGAGAGTGAGGTGACATATCTAATCATTGTAATATTCGCATATTATAGAATAATCAAAGTAATCTGATATAACATACCTCCGAATGAGCTTGAAGAGGCAGAATGTGATAAAGGTTGATCCGATCTCAAATTGGATGACATTTTCAATCCTCCACTCAATGTTCTATTAGAAATCAATAATCCTAATTCTATTAAATCAATTTTCTCCTCCTCTAAAAACGATGTAAATGATTTCAATATAATTTCCTGAGAGAGAAATAATATAGTTTTTAAATTCAATGTTTTTAAATATTGAAATTGTTTTTCAGCTTTAGGAACCGAGCTTCTATAAATTCCATCCTCAACCATTCCGAAAGCATCGGGTACTTCAAAGGGTTGTAGTGATCCAAATCCCAAATTATTATTACCAACACCACCAATAATATTACCCATACTCACATTGCCACCACTATTTCCGCCACCACCACTATTGATAGAGTGATGATGATCATTGTCGAGGAGGAGTGGCAGCTGATGATTGGGCTGTGTACTCATTTTTTTATAATAATAATTTTAAATTCATAATTAAATATTAAATAGGATAAGATGCCATTATTCTTGGATAATGAAAACAGTTTACAAAAAGCAATACTAATTGAAAATTATCTGTTTTTATCAAAACTTGTTTCAAACTTTTCATAAAAGACGAGCATTTTCTTACCTTCTTCAGTGGAGAGGAAGGGTTGAACTCGTTTTCTTGCATCCTTGAAATTTTGCCATGAAATGATAATGTTAGAAGGAATTGCCTGTTTGTTTCTTTCTAAATCACGAATGGCTGCCATACAGGCCTCTCTACATAGTGCCTCTATTTCTGCACCAGTCATATCACCTGAAATTTCCTCACATTCTACCAGATTCTTAATGAACTCTGATCGATGAATGAGTTGATTGGATGAGTTTAAGAATGTTTCTCCTAGATTCTTGGTATGAATTTCAAATATAGACTCCTTGGCTTCTTTATCTGGTGGTGGTACGTGAAGTAGGTGTTCCAATCTGCCAGGTCTCATTAAGGCACTATCAATCATATCAGGTCTATTGGTGGCTGCAACAACTAGTAAATTCTTTGTACTCTCAATGCCATCCATTTCGTTGAGGAGGGTTGATAAAACTCTACTGCTCACAGAATCAGCTCCTCCCATAGAGAAATCTCTCTTGCCTACGATTGCATCAATTTCATCGAAAAATACCACTGAAGGATTCATCATTCTTGCTTTCGACATGATGTCTCTAATGGCTCTTTCAGCTTCTCCTACATATGGAGAGTATACTTGAGCAACATTACAATAGATAAAGGTAGAATTGGTTGAGAGAGCAAGTGTTCTGACAAGAGTTGTTTTACCTGTTCCAGGAATACCATACAGGAGAATACCTCTTGGTGGTTGGAGTCCTAATCTCTTGAAACTGTCTGGATATTTCATTGGCCATTCAGCAGCTTGTCTGATTTTTTGTTTGAGATTGGAAAGACCACCAATCTTGTTCCAATGTTTCTCACTACTTGATTCATCTCCTCCGAGTGGTGTTTCTTCTTGTCCCTCATTGTAATCTGTGAGTGACTTGATGGATGGTGTAATTCCCAGCTCGATAATTCTTCTCAGAACATATTCAGTATTGATATTAATGTCCTTATTAAAACCCACATCCGCATTAAGAGAACTGAACACTCTAACTAAATCATAGAATTGAAAACCAGTGGCTGTATCAGCAATAGTTTTAAAATGCACATTGGAATAATCTTTTGAATATAATAATTCGAGGAATTGTCTTCTTTCTTCAATATTTGGAAGGTCAAATTTCACTTCTCTTTGGAATTTTCCTCTCATTTCCATCTTTTTCATAAACTCTGAATCGCTCGATGCTGAACCAATAATGATAATATTTACAATAACATTTGGAATTTTAGGAATATTTTCAGCCTTTTTCATTTCCTCTTGAATGGAAATGAGGGAAGAGAATAAACCCTGCTGAATCTTATCCAAATCATCCAGGAATAACACAAGTGTAATGTCATTTGATTTCTTAGAATTCCATCTCCTTTCCAAACTTTCATACAATCTATTTACAATGGAAGTTATGGCTTGCTCATTTCCTAGAGCTCCTCCTCCCAAAGTATTACAATTCACGGATACGAGTGGACTCTTCAAATATCTTGAAATGTTTTTAACTGAGCTCGTTTTTCCAATATTGTGAGGACCATGAACTAGAATTGAATAAGGGGTTGTGATTGTAATAGCACCATGTGAGAAATTATTTGAGGAGAGGAAGGTATGATGGAAGAATCTGTTTGCTACCTTGAGAAGTGATAAGAGCTCTTTACAAGGTTTAGATTCAAGGAAGAAACTCGTTTCAGGAGCCTGTTCAACCTCATTATGATCCTTTGATTGATTATTTTCAAAACCTGAATCTTCTACTATAATTTTTGTTGCTGAAACAATTCTGAAGATATTGTGTTTCATATTTGGTTTGGATTTGGCTGATGAGTTGGAAATAACAGAGATCACTTTGTAAACTTCATTATTCGAGAACCAAATTATACTATTATTATTCAAATAGAGAGAGTGATATCTCAAATTTTTCATACTGATAGCTTGTGGATTAGTTTCAGGTTTGAATTTTGGATTAATTGGTTTGAGTATTATTTCTGATGCATTTTCTGCACACATGTCCAACAATTCCACATTCTTAATTTCGAATTTCTTGCAATTCAGAATATTATCCTGCATTGTCTGTAAAAAATCACTAGTACTTTCCATAGTTGACTCATCGAATAAAAACACATTAGATTGTGCCTTGGCCAACTTTGAAATTCGATTATCTTCCTCTGATTGTGATGGAGAGAGTAAAGTATCATCAATTACCCAAGTACTCGAAATAATTTTAATCTCATTCAAAGTGACAATACAAGGTCCATCCAGACAATAATTAACCTTACATGTTGTTGAACCTTTTGCCACCAGAGACACCTTCTTAGATGAAGTGCTAGTGGTGCTTTTTTTCGATGAATTTGATTGTGTCGACTTTTTTGATGAAGTAGATGATTTGACACTTTGCGTATCGTCAGCCAGTGATAATGTTGAATTATTATTATTTGGTCTTCTACTCCTCAATTTTCTCATCATTGAAAGAGGAAAGTAAACTCTATTATATTGAAATGAAATTCCCTCTTGGAAGGGAATAAATTGGATCATGTCCGATTCTTCTTTATTCAAGACACTATTGTGACTTTCATCAATTAGCATTGTTTCATCATTGTTTTGCATTTTTTTCATGTCAATTATTATTGTTAACTTTTATTAAAATTCAATTAATTAATGAATAATTATTATTAAAGAATTACAATCTCAGTTTTAGAAAGAGTTTTTATATTTTTATTATTAAAACCAATGAAGAAATTTGATTATTTTGATATTATCGGGAGGGAAAATTATTGGGAAGGAGTTGATGAGGTAGTCTCTGAAGGAGCTTCTTCGGTAGATAATTGGAGACCTAGTGGGTTTGTTTGTGGGAAAGCATAATAATTAGAAGCCTTTCTCTTTTCAAATTCTAAGAGAGCAACTTCTTTAGCATCTCTTTCTCTTTCAGCAATAACTTCTTTAATTCTAGCCATTGATGTTCTGACTTTCACCAAACGCTCTGGATGTGTCATTCTACCTCCCATAGACTTGGCTAATAATCTACATGTTAAGAGCATATTACGTTCCTTCATCAAAACAATCCACAATTTTTGTAAATCGGAGAGGGATTTACTACGAATTTCCTTGATACTCCAAGCTCTTCCACTAGTTTCTAATGGTTTTCCTTCAAGAACAGTTTTATCAATAAATTCCTCAAGACCTCTCTTTGGTTGAATTTTTCTGGCAGCACTCATCATGTTGCCTGAACCTCTGAGCATTTTAGTAAATTGTTGAAGCATTTTTTTTAAATATTACAAATTCTAATTTCAATGCCAAGTTAACTATTAGTTTTTAAATTAATATGTAGTATTGAATATTATATTCTAATATCATCACACCATTGACAATAATTCAATACAACTTGACTATTGTTGAAGATGAATTGTTTAAAAAATATTTAAAAATAAAAAAAAATGTCCTCATCGTTGATGATTGAGCAAACACGTCTTGCTCACACGGACGTCGAACAAGCCATCAAATCTGTAATTTATGAAATCAAACACAAAGCTAGAACACAAAAACATATTGTATATCAAAATCATCGTATAAATTATCATATTGAACAAATACAACAAAAATCTAACTATTTATTAACAACTTGTTATGGACAAACATCCGAGGCTTGTAACACTGGTGTTTATGATTCTAATACACCACAAATACAATCTATGAAAAATCAAATCACTGAAACAACTCAACCAAACACGATCAACAGTTTTTATTCAAAGTTGGAAGAAATCAAGGATTACCACAGAAGATTTGCTGTTAAAATTGAGAATAGAAATACTTCTGAATCCAATGATGAACAAGCTCAAAGAAAAGTCAAGCAACGAGTTCAACAGGAAATTAAAGTTTTGTTCACCGACGAAGAATTATATGGAAGGTATGTCGATTTAAATGCTCACTATAACGCATTCGTAGACCTGATTAATGAACAGAATTCCACAGCAACTCCACCTGTTGAACATAAAACTATTGACTATGTGGAATATCTTGTCACTTTAGGTCAATTTGACAAATTGTCACTAGATCTTAAAAATCAGGAAAAATATAAGAGTTATTTGGAAAGTCTTTTGGATTACTTTATTGATTTTATGAATAGAACTCAACCTCTTATGGGCATCAAACAAATGGTTGATAAATTGGAAGAGGAATTCGACACAAAGTGTACTAGTGGTGATTTGCCTGAACATTGGAAGTTCTTGGTTAAATTGATGGAAAAGAGTCAACCAGAAAAAGATCAACCAACATCTGAGCAAAATTCATCAGCACAAGGTAAAAAGAAGAAGAGAAGAGGAGGTAAAAGAAAGAGCAATCACAATGTAGATAAACTAAGGTCGATAGCATTAATGGAATACAAGATTTCCAAATTCTTAACAGAATGGCTATCTGATGTAATACAACAAACTAAGATTTATGTGGAGAAAAAGTCAACCAGGACATGGGAAGAAAATCAAGCTGAAATGGAAAGAATTGAAAAGCAAATGGACAAGGAGGATGACGACGAACAACAAGAACAACAAAAGAAGGCCAATAGTGCAATTGATCCTAATGATCCACTCAGTAAATATGCCAGTAAGAAGAATAATCCTTTGAACTTGCCTATTGGTCCTGATGGTAAACCTATTCCATATTGGCTCTATAAATTCCAAGGCTTGGGAAATGAATACATTTGTGAAATATGTGGTAATCACTCATACTGGGGACATAAGGAATTTGAAAAACACTTCCAAGAGTGGAGACATGCTAATGGTATGAAAATTCTAGGAATTCCAAACACTAGACATTTCCATCACATTACAAAGATCAAAGATGCTGTGGAATTATGGAAGAGTATGCAAAATCAAGATCAACAACAAAGTTGGGACCAATCAGAAATGGAGGAAGTTGAAGATGCTGAAGGAAATGTCTACACCAAACAAACCTATCTCGACCTTAAGAAACAAGGTGTCATTAAACATTAACTCTTTTTCAATATACAGAGTGAGAGGAATCAAATTCTTGGATCAAATAGTTGAAGAATTGAACAATGATTGTCCTCCAATCTTAATCAGTTATTAATTTTAAAAAAATGTCCTTGGAAGAGTTTGCCTCAACAACCTGTGATGCAGGTGATAAGTTGATGAAAAAGGCTGCAAGCGTATTGAGTAAGAAAATTCACTTTGGTAACAAGACAAAGGATGCCATGAAGTATTATGAGCAAGCTGCCCAAATCTATATGGAAAGTAACATGTATTCTTCTGCTGGTGATGCCTATTGTAAATCCGCTGAATGTTTGGTAAAATCGGGAGAGAAACACAAAGCAGCCAACGTGTATAATTTAGCCTCTGAAGCCTATCTTCAAGACACAATGTTTGATGAAACTAAGGATACCTACAATAAGGCTATTGATTCCTTAAAGAAGGCAAGTTTGATCTATACAGAAAATGGTCAAACTGCCCAAGCAGCTCGTAAGGAGAAGGAAATTGCTGAGAGGTTGAGTGCTGAATCAATTGTGGATGTGGATATTTTACATCTTGCGATAGAAACATATAGAAGTGCTGCTGAGCTTTTTGAATTCCAACAAGCCTATGCAACTGCAAATAATTGTCTGGAACAAATTGCTCATATTTATGTTAGATTGAAGGAATACAAGGAATCTAGTAAGGTTTGGGAGGAAATTTTAAATGCTGAATGGAATAGTGGTAATTCAGCAACTGGTGAAAATTCTCTTATTAGACATTTGGAAACTCGTTATATGTTTTATGCTTCTCTCACAAAGATTGCTGGAATTAATGATGATTACAATGAAGAAGATTTGGAATTATTCTGGATGGATTTGGAACATTTTAGTGATAGAGGAGCTAATTTTGGGAAGAGTAGAGAGTTTGATCTTATAGTTGGACTTTATAAGGCTTTCAAGGAAAGAGATTTAAAAATCTTCCTTAGAGTTGTAAAGAAAACATTAGAAGTTACCAAATTGGATGAATGGGTTAAACAACTCCTTCTAGCAATAAGGAAAAAATTGGAAAACTGTATTCATTGTACTTCTGTTCTTGAAGATGAAGATGGTGAGCTTGATCTTACTTAAATAAATAGAGTTTATTCTGTCTTCTTTTTAATTTTGAGAGTTTCATTCTTTTCCTTAATTTGTTTGAGAATTTCAAGTGCAATCTTTACGTCTTCATTGGTTGTAAATTGTTCCAAAATATAGTTCGATACCTTTTCATCGACTAAGCTGGCTCTTGGATAGTTTCTTTCTAGTATGAGTTTAGCCCATTGTTCATTAAAAGTTACTGCAAAATGTAAAATGTGCTTTCTAATTTGTCTGTCATTTCTAATTTCCTTCAATAATTGTAACAGATGATCACTGTTGGCTTCAAATGATTCAAAGAAAATATCTGCAGAAATATTGGCAATTAGTGAAATAATGTTTGGATCAACAGTTTGTCTAATTAAAATAGAAATGATAGAAATAAAATTGGTTAATTCTGCCTTTGAGTAAGTTCTGTGTCTTATTCTACTAGAGTCAATCAGCTTCTTCAGTAATTTGAATGCCAAAGTTAATTGATTGGTATTAATATAACCAACAATGATAACAGCATAATCCTCAAATGTTGGCTTGATTGATGAGTTAACTGAAAATTCCAAAAGTAAATCCTCAGCCTTCTTTGGCATTCTAAACTTGAAAACATACTTCCTCACCATTTCAGATAGCTCTGCACGAGTTATGCAATTTTTAGATGACATGATATCAAATAATCTCTTGGCAATATCAACATTGGTATTTTGAATCATGAAATATGACGAGATGGCTTTTGGATCCCAAGATATATCAAAGTCTTGAATAAATATTTCTTCTCGTGATCTTGTTTCATCTGTTGGAAGATTCTTTTCGTATTCATGGAAAAATTCAAGTCTCTTTGATCTTTCTTCTCTCAAAGTTCTGTAAAGAATTGTCAGTGGACCACCATTACTTGAAAAATTATAGAGGAATGAGTTAACAATTTGATTTCTTTTCCTCATATTAACGCGAATGGATTCTAAATCATTGCATTTTACAGTAGTCAAAGAATTAGTGATGGCTGAGAAAATATGGGTCATGTTTTGGAATAAATGTAATTTACCATATGACTCCAGTAGTGGTCCATAGCTTGAAGAAAGTCTCAAATTAATTTGTCTCTTCTTCTCTCCGTTACTTGTTTGTGGATTGAGATAGGAAAACACAATGAGAACATTCAATTTATGTTGATGCATGGAAGCAAAATGTTCAAGAACTCTATGAACTGTTCCCTCGGATAGATATTCGCCATATCTTTCAACAAGCATGAAAATACGATCACAAATAGAAAATGTACTATTTTGAAGCTTGGTTATTGATGCATTCATTTCAGGAGTGTTACTTTGTGGAATATCATTTTGTGAATTTTCAGATGTTGTTTCGGGATGTTTAATTTGAATAGATTCATTCTTTTTGATGAAGGAATTAATTAATACTGTAATTCTTTTTTTTAAATTATCTTCTTCCGATGCAATTGATCCCGACGAATTCTTTTCAGGGATTGTCCAACCAGCAGGATCCACAACATTTCTCACAATTGAACAAGTATGATAATATGATTGTTGTTGATAATAATTATTCAAGTATTGTTGTTGTTGTTGATGTGTTGTTCTATTCCAAAGAAGAAGGCTTTGCATTCCGGTGCTTTTAATTGCGTTGCACCTATTCAAACACACAACAACATTTTTCATTTTTTAATTTAGTTTTTTATTATTTAATAATTATTATAAATAATGAATTCCTCTTAAGCAATCCAATATTATTATTGAGTTGTAACAGTTTTTGGTTTAAAGTATTTGAATAAACCTCCTGTCTTTGGTTTTTCAACCTTCTTTGGTTTTTCTGCTTCAAGTGGAGCTTGTTCCATAACTTCAGAAGAAGAGCCAGTAGGAGCTGTGTCTTGTTCTGTTGTGGTAGTGGTTGGTTGGGCTGCACTTTCATCAGATGATGGCTTAGCTTCGGTTTCAGAAGCAGTTTTCTTTTTATCCTTCTTTGACTTTTCCTTCTTGGTCTTTTTCTTTTTGGATTCAGTTTTAGATTCAGATTCTTCAGTCTTCTTTCTCTTCTTGGATTCTTCCTTCTTCTTTGGCTCTTCAACAACTACTGGTTCTTCTGGAGTAGAGAATCTTGGAGTTCTCTTGAAAACCTTTTTGGTTGATTTGTTTTGATCCTTTTCCTTCTTCTTCTTTTTTCCATCCTTAACTTCTGACTTTTCAATTTCTGATGATTCAGATTTTGAGGTGGTGTCTAGTGTCTTAATGTCTTCAGTAGTATCCATCTTGTTATCATCAGCTATAAGAACAATTGGCTCAGTGACAACATTGTTGCTAGTTGCTTCCTTGACTTCTGGAATGGTGGCCTCTTGTGGAAGGTTATCAAAGTCTAGTTTCTTAGCAGAGGATGATTTCTTTGTAGATGATTTCTTTGGCTTCTTTGGACTAAAGAGAGAATCTAGAGATGCCTGCTTTGATGGCTGGGTTGGTTCAGCAGCAATAGTAGGTGCTGGCTTATTCTTCTTTGTAAACATATCAAACAAGCTTAATTGCTTTCCTTTTTGTGGTTTGCTTTCTTGGATATCGATATCTTTCCAATCTTTGGCAAATTGAGGTCCTTTCTTCTTTCTTCCACCAGTTTTCTTCTTTGGCTTTTTCTTCTTTTCTTCATAGTCTCCATCATCTTCATCCTCATTGTCGTCTTCTTCCTCGAAATTATCTTCTTCATCATAGTCAACATCATCCTTATCATCATTGTCATCATTAAGGGAATAATTCATTTTTCTTCCTCTACCTCTCTTTTCGAAAAAGGTAAAAGAGTTAACAACTGCAATATCTGGATTTTCAAAAGATCTAGCTTTTAACAATTGCAATTCATAGTCCATGAGCTGATACTTGAAACCATCATTGATACGATCATTTCCTTCAAGCTTTTTAGTGACGTGATTGTAACAGTCATGGAGGGATAATTTGAGGCTCTTCATACCATATGCAATTAATGTAGAGACGCTTCTACTTTTACCTTCACGACAGTGAATCATTACTTTCATATCTGGATGATTTTCCAAAAAAATTTCAATCTTACTAATTGCCTCATCAAAGTATTCTACAATTCTTTTCTCACGAGAATCTTCGATGGAAATCTTGTGATACATTACAGTGTGATCCAATTTTACATATTCATAGACTGGAACAGCCTTTTTCCGTTCCTTCTTTTGAGATGATTTCTTAGGTGTCTTGGCTTTTGATTTTGGAGTGGCAAATACTACTACTGGTTCATCTTGACTCTTTTGAGGAGTTGCTTGAGAGTTGTTACTAGCTTCTTCTCTAATGACAGAGGACATTGAGGTTTGGTCGATAAGTAATGGATCATTCTCAGAGGCACTAACAGATGACATTATGGAATTTTCATCATCAAAGGTTAACATTGGATCTGAAGGAGCTGATGAAAAATCAGAGCTATCAGAAACTTGAGAAGGAATAGCCAGATAATCACTCTCAGAAGTTGTGGTAGTGAACAAGGTTTCTCTCAATGGAGTAGTTTCACACATTGAACTATTGGATTCTTCATCATCGAATAAAAGTGGATTTCCTAACAACTCTTGGGATTGTTTGGTTGGAGTAATGTTTCGTCCCTCACTATCAAAAATCACCTCACCAGTTGATGATTGTGAGAGTGATATCATCTCATCGGTTTGTTCACGTTTTGGTATTTTTCTCTTCACATGACTACAACCTTCAAAGTGATTGTCAATGTTATCGGTTACATTGACTACTAGACCAATTTTTTGTTCATTGAACAATATTAAATCACAGGCGTCATGACGATTGCCCAATAAAACTCTTTCGAAAACTTCAGTCATAATTTGTGATGATCTATTTCGCTACTATTGTTGATAAATTTACTACTATACGGAGAGGAAACTTGGTTAATGATACTAGAGAAATAAAAATGTTTTTCTAATGACCAATAACCGGTTATGATGAAATCAACAAGAACTGGCTTTCACCGGTGTGACTAGGAAATGGTCTTTTTTTTTGGTTGGTTATTTGATTTGAATTGTGTAACGGCAAAAAAACGCGCCAACTTTCCAATCTCCATTAAAAACTGGAAAATAACAATGAAAATGTTCACACCAATTTCTTTAATGAAAAAACATTAATAATACGTATTTTAACTTTTATCAATTAGAATTCAAGACGTCTGTTCTGATTGATACAAGGCTCTATAATAAAAAAATGAAACAATCGATATCTTCTTCCACCATCAAACAGCTTTTCAATAGAAGGAATTTCGGCAATTGTTCTTCTCCGATTAAAACATCGATGATTGTGAGTGCTGCTAAATACTTCAGTAGTTCCCTTCAAGCTCCGAAATTGAATAACAAGTCCTCTCTTTCATCAGTGCTCAAATCATCATCAATTCTAAGCAAGCACAACGTGGAGTGTAAATTAATAATGAATAGTGAATTTAATCAATCTAGAGGATTTTTACCAAATTTATTTGCACCACCAACACATGGTAATGCAGCTGGAATTAAATATGTGGAACAGAGAATTATTGGATTTTCTCCCGAACAAGTATTTTCTGTAGTTTCTAATGTCAATGATTACAAGCTTTTCCTTCCAAATGTTAAGGATTCTGCTTTTGTTAAAAATGGAAAGGAGACAGTTAGTGAACCTGATAAAGATGGACTTGTGGAAAAATCATCAGAAGCTTATTTAACAGTTGGTTTTCCACCATTTGTTGAGACCTATACCTCTACTGTTACTCTGAAAGAACCTGTCAGTGTCAGAGCTGTCTCACAAAATATGAAATTATTTAACAAACTGTCGAATTATTGGACTATTGCAGAAGGTCCAGCTGAAAATACTTGTAGATTAACATTCCATGTGGATTTTGAATTTTCCTCAAAATTATACCAACATGTTGCCAATATGTTTTTTGAATTTTGTAAGTAATGATTTCATCTGAACATATTTATTCTGAATATTAAAGTGGTAAAAAACATGACCAACGCATTCGAGGCAAGACTCAAACAAGTACATGGAAAACCAAGTCAGGTCACTAAAATTGTATACTCAAAACAAACTCAATCATAATTCAAAAGTAAACTCGACCAAGTATTTACAATATGTTTACATCTTAAAATTTTCCAAGATAATTTGCCTCTTTTAAAATATTGTAAAAGCAGCAATAATGACTGGATCGTTTTTGAGACCGTGAACAAATTCTGGCATGGACAGTTTTCCATCTTGTGAATTGGCATCTAATTTTTCGAATAATCTTCTACATTTTTCATCTAGTTCCTTATCTTCCTTAACAGTTTGATTTTTTGCTGCTCGCTCTTCATTTTCCTTGTGATTTCCAAATATAAAATGATATAATTGTGAAAATTCATAATAATCAATGTATCCATCAGAGCCTATATCAAACACCTTGAAGGCAAAAAGTAATTTTTCCTCGTTCGTACTGTTTGTACCGACAGCAAGGCTTATTAAATATTCCTTAAAATCAAAATAACCATCTCCATTCTTATCCAACTGATCAAAAATATGTGACCACATCTGGCGTGTACCAGCATGAGCTTCACTATTTTCCCTAACAAATGTTTCCTTATCTAAGGCGCCAGAAGGATATTCATCATAGAACGAATCCAGGTAATAATAAACTTGTCTTTCGCTAACTGATCGTGATTTTTATTTCTCTTCAACACAAATTAAACACTTACAATTACCAATAGCTTTCAATTCTTCCATTTGTTCATCACTCAATACCAACTCTCTCGATTTTGCGTTGCCCATTTTTTGTTTTGTATAAATTCTTCGTGTTCAAAGTCTGTTTGAGACCCTATTTGAACAAATAAGGAACTTAGGACCTTCTCCTTTATTAAGCTACTCAATGGTACCATGGTACCTTCTTGATGTAGTTATATCTATAATAAATTGTGTCCAGTTCAACCCAATGATAAATCTGCCTGAAATGAGTTCAATGTGTAAAATCTAGAGTCAAATATTTGGCCCGTTAGGATCTCTTTGGATTTTTATCAGTCTTGCTCTTATCTTGTTCTTTGATGGTATTGGCAACGTTTGAGGATTTGGAGAGAAACTCTTTATAGCTCTTTTCAAGGGCAATCATTTGAGGATTTGGTGGAATGTTCATTTGTCCCTTTTGATTCATAATGTTTTGGAATTGGTTATCGAACATGTTACCAATACCAAAGCTATCTGAAGAAGACATGGTTCCATCTCTTGACAGCATAAAATCTTCTTCATTGTCACCTCCAACAAGTAAACGATCTATCTCCTTTTCTTTGGCTTCCTCATAGAGAGCTGCCTCTTGTTCGATTTTTTCAATGTCAAATTCCAAGTTTTCAATATCTTCCATGAGGTAAGAGTCATATTCGTATGGATCATTGCTTACTTCACCTGTGAATGAAATACTGGAAAAGTCAAGATCCTCATGAACAAGTTGTTTTTGCCATTGAGCAGACGGTAAACTATCCAGCGGATTGGCAGCATGGTTTGATGAAATTGAGTCAACTAAACCAAGTTTTTCTTTCACTGTCGATTCTTCTTTTTGCTCTATAATTTTCTTAATAGTTTTGAGGTGAGAAATATCACCAACTGGATTCAAAACGTTCTTTTGTTTGTGGTCTGGATTGATCCATTCCGAGTATCCTTTTGAGAACACTTGAATTTGTTCCTCTTCTGTTAATTTGTCGCTATCCACTTCTATCGGAGAAAGGTGTTTTCTAATTGAATCTGGTATTGATCCATCTTTATCCACAACATATTTAGTCCACTTTTCATCCAAGTCGTTCATTTCAATAATGTTTGTCTTTTCTTGTCTAAAATGTTTCCTAAAAACATGATTGGCTTTGAGTTGTTTAGGTTGACTAGTAATAAAATCATCATTTGGAACTTGTTGCACATTTGCTTGATTTTTAGATTTCAAGGTTTGAAGAGTTGACATTAAACCTCTAGAAGCCTTCGAACCATCTATTACTTTCTTTTCTGAATTTACATTTTGTTTTTTTTCATCGTTGGTTTTAATATGTTTACCAAATTCTTCTTGTTCCAGAGCTTCCAGATATGCATTTGTTGATTTTTTCGATTTATGATTCCCAGAGTGTTTTAACAAATCCTCTCTTTTCTGATTGAATGATGAATTACCATGTAATTTATTCAACAAGGAACTAATAGCCTGGTCATCGGAATCCTTTCTCTCATCAGACAATACTATTGTTCTTGAATAATAATTTTTTATAAATCTCCAATAATAAATATGATGAAGGCAATTTCTACATTTTACCGATGATGACGCAGAAAATTGTTTGAGCATTTTTTTGTTGAAGAAAGGTTTTCTGTTAACACAATTAATACAAGAGACACGCGAAAGTGAATGAATCCAAGAGTTAAATGGTCTTAATTATGAATATCTCCTCCATTCAATATGACTTATCATATTCTTGATCAATTTTTTGCATAGATATTTTTGGAGGTTATTAGATAGCTATGGTTCATTCTTCCTTAATCCTTAAAAAAACATCATAATTCTTCCCTTTTAAAAATATATAATCTTCTCTTATAAAAACCTTAGATGAACAACAAGGAAAGACATTAAATGAAGGACCAATCAAAAACTATTTCCGCCGAGGAAAAGCTATTGGAGTTTTTGAACTCAGGTAGGTAACAATGTTTGTGGATAATTTTGATAATTTTAATATTAATAGTTGAGGCTAAACAATCATGTGAATGTATGCATATAACACCAAGCTATTTCTTCCAAATATTAGAGTTCAAGGATAAGTGTGCTCCGAAATGGGAAGTTTATGAATTACTTCAACTAGTAGACTCGCTTGTACAATCAAATTTACCTTCTGAGAATTCGACCTCAACACTGATTCAAGGACACTCCTATGAATCATGCTTAATATTAGGTTTAAACAGGGCTGTTATATTTATTCAGTATGGATATTATGGAGAGGCTCACTTTGAATTGAATAAGCTTCAAAGCAAGCTGATTGAGCAAATAACGATGAATTTTAATGTGAAGCGTATGTTTGTTAATTATGTGATCTTAGTAATCTCACTCACTTTACTATAGTTGAATTGTTATACGTTAGGGTTTTATTTATGTTTGCTCAAGTTATGAAAGGTGTAGGAAAGATAGAGGACTGTAAGGAATATTTATCATCAGCAAGAGAAAGAGGAGAGACGCTCTTTCGACTAATATCAACAGGATCAAATTACTCACCATCATTTTCATCATATAATCACAAATCATCAGCAAATTTTAGTTACATCAACACGTTCTTCAATGCTAGCAACAGTTCCAATGCTAATCTGTTGCATAGTATCTCTATATGTTGTGGAGAAATAATAACTTATCAAGCAAGAATCATTCTTGAGGAAAATGATTGTAAATCAATAGAAAAGGAAGAGTGTGAAAAACTAATTTTCAGATACGTTCTCCCTTCTCTTCATTATTTAATTTTATTTGGAAACTCAAATTGCTACCTTCTAAGAGAAGAATTGTTTATTGAATCGATGAGAGTATTACTTAAGGTATTGATTAGAATGAGCTTAGTAAAAACAGCTTTGAAGTTCATTCAATTTATTGCGAAAATCAGTCCTAAATCCACTAAAGAAGATAAACAATTAAGAGATATCGAAAGTGAAGTGCAAAGAAAACTGGTTGAGAGTACAACACAGTTTTTTTCCACCTCGAGTGTACATAGCTATAGTGATGACGACGATGATGATGACTGGGGAGTTGAATCAGCTACTCAACTTAAAGGTGTGTATGCTGGATATTTTTCCTCAAATCCTGAGGATGAAATTGACCCTATTGAGGAACAACTATTCCCTCCTCGTCTTTCACTTTTCAGAAAAAAAAATCTTGCTTTATTCCGAAACACTTTTGTTGTACAAAAGTATGATGAAACTATTCCTCAGCTCTATTCTTTAGAATTAGAAGATGAAACCGTTCTAACATCCAAAGAACATTTCTTGAAATGGTTGAGATCACTAAATCTCGAGGAAATGAACCGATACAAATCTGAAGAAGAATTATCTGCTGAAAGCTCAAAAGATTTAATTTTGGAGAAATTTAGACACAATATCGATTATATTGATCCTTTCTCTGTGGCATGGGCACAATTTTATTATGAATCAGCTTGGAAATTGATGAGGATCGGAACAAAGGAGTCTTGTGCATCTTGCTTCAAATTGATAGGAGAATACTTCTCTAAAATTCCAGCAGCAAGAATAACGAGTGATATTGATCATGAAGATGTCCAAAAATTGAATGAATTATTTAAACTTAGTTTGGCTTTATTGGAAATAGCCGCACTGTTAGTTAATCCAGATAATTATGATAGATTTTTGGATATGAAATCATATCTATTATTATTTAATTCCAAGAACATTGATATGTTAGAACTTATAGAAATCAAGGGTTTATGTCACAATATTGTACTATTCTCAAAGAAACAAGAAACGTTCAAACGATGCGAGAAAATTGTATCCAAACTTGTAGAAATTTTCTCAAGAAATAGCCAAGTTTCAACTCCTACTGTTATGATCATGGATCCAAAATCACATTTAACCACTCCTCCAACTCATGCTGATATGGCATGTGAAGCCTTAATTATACTGCATTACTTTTTGTATAATATTTCCCCTCTGACAATGGAGTATACAGTTGATCCACAAAAGAAAGATTTCAGAATAATGTCCATTCAAAATAGAATGACTTCTTCTTTAGATCCAAACTTCCACTATCTCCTAGATGTTAATCAACGAACAGAATTACTCAACATTTTTTACCACAAGCTTCCATGTATGTCCACTTTTAAAGCTTTTGTTGCCTTTTCTCTTGGCTTATATTGCAGAAACATTTCTAATGATTACAAACAGGCAGAGAGAGTTCTTTTCGAAAGTGTTTACATATTTTGTCAGACAAGTGGTTTTACAAAAGCAATACCAAGCCTTTTAAGCAACATATGTACCAGGGTTTTAGTTGAACTTGCACAAGTTCTCACTGAAAATAACAAGTATACATACTCTTCTTTGATATTTAGGGCTGCTGTAGAAAATCAAAAGCTAATCAATCTTTCCTATGATTATACTCTTGTAAATGATTTAGCAGAATTGAGTATAAGAGAAGATGATTGGAGATCTGGAATTTACTATTACACATTGTTACTTAATCATGCAAACGAAGAAAAGATGACAGCCAAATATGGTCACCTTTCATCTCTTTTATCTTCTCTTTATATTGAGCGAGGTGATTTTAAAAATGCAGAATCATGCATTACTAATTCATTACTATTTATGAGATCTCAAGGAAAATCTGGAGAGTATGAACTTAATCTACAATTAACACTAGCTAAATTATTCCTCCAAAGTTATAATTTTGAAAGAGGAATGGATTTACTGGCCAGACTAATGGAAGAGAAAATCACCTCAATACAAAGATGCACTGTGTACATAAATTTAGCCGAAGCTTACCTAAAAAAGAGATGGCTAAAGGAGTGTGATTTTGTTCTTTTTAGACTGGGTGTGTTAATGTCAGAACAGGTTTCAATTCTAGAAACAAGCGGAGTGGATCCTATCAAAATATTGGAAATCACAGCTAGATGTTTCCTTAAATTATCACGATTTTCTGATGCTTTATGCTGCATTAATATTGCTTTATCTCAATGTACAGCTCCGTATGTTTTGGCTGACCTTCTTTTCCTAAAAGGAAAAATTTTGCAAAAGATTAGTCAAGATACTAGTCCTGTTTCTTTCCCTTCCACCCTCACTAGTACAAACAAAATTGAATTAGTGGAAAGACTACGAGAATTTTTTGGGAGAAGCACATATAATTACGCTATGGATAGCAGTTTAATTAATAAGAGGTCAATTTACAACAACCCAGAAGAAGTTTTACTAGATGCCCTTGATTGCCTTTACAAATCAAAGGAATTATATATAATTTGTACAAACGAGTTAAATGCTGCAAAAGTAGATATTTTCATTGCCAGATTCCAGATAGAATATTTAATTGTTCCAATAGTTTTCTGTGGTGTTGATCCTAACTTGTTAATTTTATCTAAGAGTGATGGCTGGGAGTTGGACTTGAAAGAAATTGAGACAAAGCACATACTTCCTGCACTTGAGGTTGCTTTGAAAACGACCTCAGTCCTTGTTGCTCTCGATGGTTACATAACGATGGCAGAAGCCAAATTTTTACAAGGCAAGAGAACAAGTGCCGAAATATTTTGGAAGCACTGCAGAGATGTTGTCTTTACACTCTTTATCAATGACACTGAAGTGGTCGTTTCAAAAGGTGCACCACCATCTTTCCTTGAAAAACTCTTAACATTGTTGAAACGTCTTGTACGATTAATGTTCTGTCTTGGATCTAAGGAATTGATTAATAATAACTTATCTATCATTGATTCATACCTTCTGTTAGAAACAGAAATTGAACAGATACTTAAGAGAACCTCTCCAGAATCAAATGATTCGACTGTATACGACTCTACCTACTCAGATTCATCTTCAGAATCCGAGGTAGAAGAAATATCACTGGTAACTAAAAATAAGATATATGAATCACTTTTGATTAATACACAGATTAACTCTGTTAGAACTCTTCCATTCCTGAGGAGAAGAAGAAAATCCTCCGTAAAGAGCAATTCTGGGAGAAGCTTAAAGTCTTTCAATTTACTGAAAATGGGACCTGGCACAGGATCACAATCCACTCAATCATCAAATGGATCAAAATCTTCAGATGGATATTTGGATTACCCTTCTCCTCACGACCTGCTTAGTGAGAAAATCTGGGGATGTATCTTTAGAATGAAACTTCATGCAAAAAAGCATCATCTTTCTGAGAAAGAGTTAAACTTTAGAAACCAAGAGTCTATGAGAAGGCTTTATCACCTAATGTCAATTGTTAAACAAAAGAATTCCCAACAATTTCCATCATACGTAGACATTAAACTTGAAGATGCACAAAAATCAGAAGAAATAGACTATATGAAGTCACTCTTGATCGATTATTCATCTATTGAATCCACTAGAAATCTTGGAATGAATACTTTGGAAAAACTAGTGTATATTATCCATATTGATTCAGTCATTACATTCTACACTCCAAAGACAGGACAAATAATCTATCAAAAACTTGGCAAAAATCAACCTACTCTTAACAATAGTTCACCAAAATCAGAAGAAAAGAAATCAACAGACTCTAAATACTCATTCTATAAGAGTGAACACTCCAAATCGTCTAGCCAATCTGTTTCACAAAAACCAGCTTACTCTGCAAATGTGATTCCCCAACTTGAAGATTATCTCTTTAGTCTGATTTGTCAACCAAGAAAAGATAAGAAAATTAATATTCGAGTTGACAATACATTCTCTCTTATTGAACATTTATCGAGAAATATTGTTAGAGGTCCTTACGACTATCATCCCAATATTAGACATAAGAAGAAATACGAACGAATTAACAAACAACTCGACAAGTTTGATTATATTGGATTATTTAAGAGAATGAAGAGTAAATTCTTCTCTCTTACTCCAAGATCTACAGATTTTTCCGGATTACCAAGACTATCTGAGCTCTGCTACCCTAATTCTCAATTAATTTTGTTGTGTAGTAGGAGTTTACAAGTTCTTCCTTGGGAATTAATGTTTGACCACTTTATTTCTAGAAACTTTTCCCTTCAAAGAGTTGTTTCTCAAGAGAATAAGAGAAATGGAAAGATGAAATTCAAACCTCAATATTTTTGTTTCTACTCTGAAGATGAGCTCAAATACATTTCACCAGTCGAAAGTGATAGAAAGAAATGGATATTGGAATGTATCAAGAAAGGGCTTAATATTCAAAATGAAAGTGTTAACTCTGGGGTATTCCACGATAGCCTTCCAAACCTACCTTTCCATTGTCCAATCATTGGGTATGGTCGTAAACCAAAATCCAAATCAGACAGATACAAGTTCGTCAACTTTGTAAAACTTTCGTCTATAAGTGAGAATCCAACACAAATTATCACGCATATTGAATCCTACAACTCTGCACAAGATTTCCCTGTATTTATTCTTTCATTTTCAGATTTATTGGATTTGAGTGAGGCCATTATTTGTTTACTCAATTTCAGACCAGACTGCACTTTACTGTTTTTCCCTGAATCTGTCATGTCAATAGCTCTTGAATTCTTGATGGATATGCAAATTGTTTATACAAATAGTGGTCAGTTGGCCAACAGTAGACTCACACCATCAGAGAACTCTAGAAATGGTTATAGATTTTTCCTTCACTCTCTGCAGCTCATTAAGAAATGCCTCAAAATTCCGCTTATTGTTATCAATCCTCCAACAATAAGCAATGAAGGAAGAAACGGATCTTCTTCCTCAACCTCTTCTGAATAATCAACGAAACGACTCAATAAACAATCCTTTTCAAAAGCATGATTAAATTCTCGAATTGGCTACATACATGTTTTTGCAAAGGGTTGTTGATTTTACAACTCGCAACGTTAACAAATCGCTTCTCCTCTCTTCGCTTATCGAAGGCCGAACGCTCTCCGAGTATCAGCATTTCAGTGCCTTTTCAAAACCTATCAAGGTTAGCACAAAACGAAGAATCACACAATTAATGCTGCCTCTTAATAATAACGCCATCAGATTGGAAAAATCACAAAGCAAGCACCGACATCAAGCTCTTGCGTTGTTTATGTTCTGTGAAATGATGTAAGTTTTTGTTGAAAAAAAATACGCCACTACAATAAACCCTTGTCGAACGTATCAAAATGTTCCTTATCATTTTAACAGTTATTGTTGGTGGTTTCATTCTCTACCTCTTTAAGTTCCGTGAACAAATCAAGGGAAGTCACTTGACTGATACTGATAAGACTGCTTCTTATCAAGAACTCTTTGCTACTGATAACCAACAAACCCACGAAAAGAGAAAGAAGGCCGGTTGGGATGTTGCTGGTAAATATTATGATATGGTTACTGATTTCTACTTGTATGGTTGGGGTAGATCTTTCCACTTTGCTACTCGGTATGTTGTTATTTGTTAAATTTAAACATGATTTAATTAACACTAGATTAGTCACTCTAGAGAATCCCTCATTGAATCCATTCTTAGACACGAATACTGGTTAGCTAAACAATTAGATTTGAAGCCAGGTATGAAGTGTTTGGATTTGGGTTGTGGTGTTATGGGTCCAGCTGTTAATATTGCTCGTTTCTCTGGTTGTAATGTTACTGGTGTTAATAATCACCCATATCAATCTGAACGTGCTAAGGTTTTCATCAATGAAATGGGTATGGATGGAAGATGTAACATTGTTCGTGGAGATTTCAATAATTTGGATGATAATAAGGATTTACCAGCTGAATCATATGATGCTGCCTATGCTATTGAAGCTACTTGCCACGCCAAGGATAGACCACATTGTTATAAGCAAATCTTTAACAAGTTGAAGCCAGGTGCAGTCTTCGGTGGTTATGAATGGGTTATGATTACTGGAAAGTATGATTCTAAGAATGAAGAACACAACAAGATTAAGTTTGATATCATGAAGGGTGATGGTTTGCCAGAAATCCTCATGGATAAGGAAATTGATGATGCTTTGGTTAAGGCTGGATTTGAAGTTATTAGAACTGAAGATGTTGCTATTACTGATAAGATTAATCCAATTCCATGGTATCAACCTTTGGATAATGGTGGTTGGGAACTTACTAACTGGTTCCAAACTTCATACGGTAGATGGGTAGTTCACAAACTCGTCGGTATTTTGGAAAAGATCGGTCTCGTCCCAAAGACTTCACAACAAGCTTACGAATTCTTGATGGCTGGTGCTGAAGGTTTGGTTGGTGGTGGTAAGACTGGTATTTTCACTCCATCATACTTCTTCTTGGCCAGAAAGCCACTTAAGAACTAAGTTATTTTCTAATTTTGTAATAAAAAAAAACCAAAAATTATATGTAAATTATTAGAGTATTGAGGAAACACAAGTTTAGTTTCTTGTTGAAGTACTTCCATTCATAAACTCATTGTGCTTTTAATATTATCTAGGGTCACTACCTTGTAATAAATTTGGATAATAAAGTTTCGCCGACAAACTAGGAAAAAAAATAAAACACTGTGGATGACAACTTAATATTCTTCCGACAGAGAAAAATTAACTATTAAACAATATCAACAAACCTCACACCAACATTTTAGTAATAATAGTACTGCTCTTATATAATAATTTAATAATTTAAAATGAAAATACCAAACCAAATTGTGGATTATTATTCAATATTAGGAGTTACTCGGAATGCCACTAAACAACAAATTAAAAAAGCCTATTATAATTTAGCAAAGAAACACCATCCAGATACCAATAAAAAGGCACAAGCAATACCATCACCAAATATTAGTAATGAAGTAGTAGAAAAAAAGAATGAGGATGATGATGACCAAGCCTGGTTGGACATTCAGGAAAGTTATGATATTCTAAGTGATGAAGAAAAGAGAGCAGAATATGATAGAGAAATTGAAATTGGAGCACACTTTGGAAGAATTATGGGAAGTTCGTCATCTCCATTTGGAACCAATATGAACACTGTTGTCTATGATTCAGCTATGAGAAGAAAAATGTACAATATTATGCATCAATCTGACAGATATAAACCAAAGAGTGAAACAAATGAGGGTGACAATTTAAGTGAGGAAGAAAGAGAGTTTAGAGAAAATCTTAAAAAGTTGCATGAAAAAAAGTTGAAAGCTGAAGATGAAAAGGTAACTTCACCATTTTTTGATGAATCTAAAACATCATGGGATCAGTTTATGCATAACAAACCAAATATGACATCTTATAGAGTAGAACTGGAACGAGAGAAAATGATTAAGAGAGCAAAAACAACAATTCCAATAGCAAGTGTATTGGCATTAGGAGTGTCAATACTTATTGGTCTTGAACTTGAGAGCGTCACAAGAAAAGAACATGCAAGTGATTTGGAAAAACAAATTTTGTTAAGTTATTACAAAGAAGCTTCAGCAAGACAAAGTAGAGTTATCAAGTAAGAATGAAAATAATAATTATATTGGTATCAAGAACTCTAGAGAAGCACTTTATTGATCTCCTTAATGGTTATGTCTAAAGAGGAAAATAAACTATTGATTTTCTTTTCAAAATCTCTGTCCGTCTGGTCAAATGTCGAACTTGCTTGAGATCTTCTCTCTGTTGCAGAATCTGTCATGTTACCTTTGAAAATGTGAGGTAACTTATCAGAGTGTGAGGTAGTTGCAGGGGAATGATGAGCAACAGGAGATGGAAGAGTGGTATTATTTGACGAATTCAATTCAGATGGAGCAGTTGCAATAGATCTACTTCTTGTTTTGTTTGGCTCAACAACAACCACAGAACTCGAAACAATATTCTTTTCTTGGTTCCTACCCTTATTAGAAGAGGGAGTAGATGGTACAGGTTTAGCTACTGTGGAAACAGTGGTTTGGAGAAGTGATGTATTGGGAACCTTGTGATCTACCATGAAATCCTCAATATTTCCTTAATTATGGTGTTATCTACAACAAAATCACTTAAAACTTACTTTCAAATGAATAATCATCAACATCAATTAGTGTTCTCACTCTATCTATCCAATTAGTATCATGAGCTTGGGACCAAAGTAATGTTTTCTGAAACTTTTCCAGAGCTTTTCTCTCTGAAGATTCTTTAGAGTCTTCGTATGAGTTTTCCCCTTCCCCAGCCTCTCTTGGTGTTGTGGATTGGTCAACAGCTCCTTGCTCTTTGAGGGATTTCTCGATGAGATTTGAAACTCTATCTTCCAATTCACGCAATTTTTGATATCTTGTCTGAGAGGTGGAAAGTGTTCCTCCCTTCTTCTCATTCGGTTTTGTGTCTACAGTAAGGAAATTGGCTTGTTTGTTAGGGTCTGATACACTAAGGAGAGGTTTAGCTTGTACTGGTTGTTGATCTGATGGAGATGTGGAAACAAGAAGTGTTGGTGTCTTTTGTTTTGCTGATGGTTGTGGTGTTTGACTTTGAGACATTAGATTAGATCTAGAATTCTCTTTAACTAGTGATCTTCTCTGAACTGGAGTTGAGGCAGTGCTATGATTATACTTTTGGGAACCTGATGGTACAGGTGATTTCGGTTGATCGTTAATAGTTAACTTCATATTATTATCTGGCTGAGGAGTAACGCTTCCATTATTACTGGAACTGGTGGTATTGTTACTGTTATTTACATTATTTTTCTTTGCTAATTGCTTATTGAGCTTGTTGAGCTCATCTTTACTTTTGATGACTTGATCAAATTCACTATCTTTTGCATCATCATTTCTATACATTGAAAGATCGAGATTAATAACATGTTTGAGATCTGTTATTTCATGTCTTCCATAGGTAAAATCCAAACCAACTTTCCACTCATTCTTTTGTCCGAAAAATCCAATTGGAATTCCATACAAATCAAAAAGTACAACTGTACAATCTAAGCCACATGATGCAATAAGGTTAAACCCAGAAAGATAAGTCAAACTTGTAACTGAATCAGTATGAGCTTTAAAAGATTTTACAAGTCTAATATTATTCTTTTGTATAACAATACTCTCTGGTTTTGTAAATTCTAAGGATTTGGCTCTTGGCAAATCAGTTAAATCATAAACATAAATAAATCCTCTAGAGTCACCAAGAACAATCGTTTCATTGGTACTGCTACATGAAATACAGGAAATTGCTTCTCCATTGGGTGTGGTTTGGAATGAGTAAAGATGACTTAAGGATTTTCTAGTTTCCCATAATGATATTATTCCATTACTTCTGGCGGAAACAAGAAGTCCATCTCTATTCTCTAAAAACATTAAATCTTCAATTTGACAATTAGTTGTTGGTTGAGGAAGGTTATCAGTTTGTACTGCTTTAACTCTTCTCTGCTTGTTGATAAAGTAAAGTATGTCATAGGTATAATTTGGTATTTGTGTATAGAGAGAAGAGTATTTCAATTCACCATTGATTGCGTCTATGGTCATTATTGATCCATTGTCAAGCCCCACTGCCAAATAATCGCTAAACTGACGAATTACATTAATGTCTTTTGGAAATTTCATTGAGCTATGAGAGAAATCCTCTACAGAAGAGTCCTGATCATCGTCTTTCCAAAATACTACTCTCTTGTTATTACCTCCAGCGACTATCGATCTAATTCCTCTCAGTTCTTTGAAAACAAAAGCTAGGCCCTTATAATCAAGTGATGAAATATTCTTCTCTTCCAAAGAAGATCGAAGAGTTGTTTCCTGATCAATAACACCTCTTGGAGTTGCTAGGTCATTATAAGCTGGTTCTGTGTATTCTGGTTTTTCTATGATCTCGTCAATCTCTAATGGAGGAGAATAACAAACTAATAACTGCTGACCATTGATATAATTCCACAATGAAACCTCTCCATTGTGAGATGAAATGATCAATCTTCGTTTTAGAGTATCAAGAACAGCATTTGAAATTTTGTTTTGAACAGCAAATTTGAATAGTAACCTACCTGTTGTGGCATCCCATACACAAACAACTTTCTCATCACATGTAATGAGTTGTCTCAACATATCATTGTAAAGACAAGCCACAACAGCTGATTTGTGACCCTTGTATTCTAATGAAAATTCTGTGAGTGTTCGTTTCATTGGCCATGTTTTCATTTTGTGACTGGCTGTTATAACTCTACTCTTTTTGTGGTGATAAATCATAGCTGATCCAGGGTATTTACCAGTGAAAGACTGGATATGAGAATCAGCAGATCCAGTTGTAGGTTTAGACTTGATATCTTCAATTGTTTGCACAAGCTTATAGTTTCTTAAATCCCAAACTTTGATTGTTTTTCCAGTATCATAAGATATGATTTGTCTATCGTCAACATTAAATTTGACTTCTATTACAGGCTTTTCATGACCACAAAGTGTTACTAAAGAGGATGGAATGAACGGATTCCACAATCTAATTTCCTTATCTCTTCCGGATGATGCTACTAATTTATGTCTTTCACACCAATCAACAGAGTATATTTCCATTGAGTGGCCTTGCAATATTCTTCCTCCACGTTTTGGATCATCAAAATTGGTTACAGAGATGGTCTTATCATACGAGCTCGTTATCATACAGTCAATACTTGGTGCATAGATTATTTTTGAAACCCACCCATTATGAAGTTTCCACTTCTTTTCAGGTAGAATAGATTCTTGAACTCTACTTCCCGTATAGGTAGTGGTACAATCGAATAATTTCACATAACCAGAATCCATTCCAAACATAATGAAGCAAGGGTTAATGATTTCAATACCTTGTTTTGAATAGCTACCAACATAATCCCCAGTTTGATTGATTATGGTTGGAAGTGATAGTACTCCTGTTTTCCGTTTTTCTTCTTTCATCTTTCTGTCAACAAAGAATTTAGAAAAATCAGTCATACATGTAGGAGTGTCTATAAAATCTTCCAAAACAGTGAGCTGAACTGAATCACTAATATGGAATGGTTTCGTAAAATAATCATTCTTCATATTCTCTATTTGCTTGTGAATTTTCACACTATTAGGAAGTGGAGAAAGAGTTTCAATTAGAGGATTAGGATCTTTAAGGCGAGAAGGCATATTAATAGGAGCATACTCTTTGAAAGTTCTTCTAGAAAGTGATGGTAGTGAAGAGGAGAGTTTTTGGGTTTGTCTATTTGGTTTTGAGTTGGCAGATGGATTGGTATCGTCCTCCATTGTGCTCATGAGACTGTTGATTGTTGTATCGTCTGCTGTTGCTCTACTAGATATGATATTATAAATTCCCTTATTATAATATTGTCTACCTTTAAATGCTCTTCTTACAGTGAAAGTATCGAGATCATAAAAACTAACAACTCTGTCAACATTACAGATACATAATTCGTCATGTAAGGGCAAATATGAAATATCTGTAATTATACTGCTCGGTGAATAATAAATATTTCTGTCAAACATTAAATTTTCATAATACCACGATTTCACTAAACCATCATTTCCTGCTGTATAGTATCTCTGTCTCTTTTCATCCACTGTTATTCTTGTAATGTTTCCTTTATGGTACATTGGTTTAGTATTGATATCAGGGTATGTTTGTTTTACAAACATCTTATCCTCAAAATTGTTTTTCATCTTTTTAGCACCTTCATAACCTAGCAAAACATAGGTTGAAAATTCATTCCAATCCACACTTCCGTTTGCATTGGCATCAATGCGAGCAAATAGAGCTTTAAATTCGTCTCTATCTCTTCCAGATCCTAATAATCTACTCATTCCAGAGATGAACTCATCTTCTGTAAGTCCATCTTCGGAACTATTTTCAAATAATCTTCTAATATCCTCCAATTTAATTTTTTCATTAATATCATCTTCAATAGGTTTCTTTTCCAATTTCTTTTTATCTTGTAAATATTTAGCATAATCTGTATCTCTTCTCGCTTGATCATCTTCCTCAGATTCTTCGAATGATGGTGAAATTCTATTTTCTTTTCCTTTCTGAATTTCTTCAAGATCGTGATCAGCATATTCACTTAATTGTTTAACTTTTTGATTTAATTCCTTTCTCCTAATTTTACCAGCCAATTGAATAGATGCAATAGCTTTCACTTTTCCGTGTACAAGAGAAAATTTGCTGATGGCTGTTGAAGCTGTAGGAGACTTCTTCATGACTCTTCGTGTTTGTCTTGTTCCATTTTTCTTATCTTCCGAATCATCAGAAGTATTTGTTTGATTATTAGGAACCAATAGTTGGTTTTTAGCATTGTTATCGAGATTTTCTTCTTCGATAACTTGTACAAACGTAGCTGGTGCCGTGACAAGATTGAAATCTTCATCATCCACAAGAATTTTTCGTTCCAAATTGTAATTGTCTTCCTTAATTCTCGATTTTGTTGAAAGTTTGTTTAATTTCCTCCTCTCCGTCGATGTTGGATCCCTAGAACTATAACTATTTACAATATTATTATGGGAGGGAAGGTTCTGAAGAAGGGGAATATTAATTTTCGAACCTTGTTTCTTGCCTAACATTTTCCAATACTACTATTTTATTCCAACTTTTGATGAATAAATTATGAAGAAGAAGAACGAATCTATTCCTCCTCAACAACTCAGAGTATTATTATATCTATCGCTACTACTATACAAGAAACTCTCTCAATATTCCTCGTCTCGATTTCCTCAAGATTGTCCTTAATCCGTTTTTTTTGGTGGTTTTTTAAAAAATTTACGACTTGAAAAAAAGGAGTTGGAACAATTATGAGCGAACAGAGCTTTCTCCCACTGTAAATATTGATGATGAGAAAATACCACCTAAGGTTTAAACGAAATATAATACAATTTATTACAATAATATTATTCATCAGTCATTCGATTGCTTTGAGATAAATTCTTCAATAATTGATGCTTTTCAATTAGATTTTGAATTGTGTTTTGATGTGGAGCATCTCTCATTAATGGCTGATTTTGATAGTAATTCAAAGTTTCGGAAAAATCATATGAATCACTGGTATCATTGTTCATAACATAATTAATCAGGTTTAAAAGTTTACAAATCCCAAAGAGAGTCAAGGTTGCTTCAGAATTTTCAAGATAAACCTTCTTTTGAGTTAATAGTTTGACAGTGTGGAGAACACTATGGTCATAACCATTTTCATCAGCAGTTACTAGAATTACTTTTAAAAAGCTGTCAAAGGATTGAAGCTCTTGATCTTTGGCTTCTTCTGCATAGAATTTACATAAAATTGAAAAGTAGATTGATATGGTGTAAATCTCATAAGGTAAAGCTCCGTTATAAACGTCTTGATCAATTAATTCCAGAACACTGTTCACTAAAGTACCAAACCTCAGAAACTCTTGATAGTGTGGACTGTTCTTACGATAACCAACAACATTAGATTGAGAGGTGACACCTAAAATGTAACCAAGATGATCTCTTGCAGTTTCTTGTGGTAGGAATAAATCAAGAAGAGGTCTGTTTGATAAGAGCTTATTCAGGATTCGAATACGTGATATAGTTGTTTTTTGGATTTCTGAGCTAAGAGCATGATTCCAAATGGTGTCATCTTCGAATAGCTCATGGAATTTAGAAGCTTGAGTATGGTCATCCAAGCTGTTAGCCCACCTTTCACAAAACAGCTGCAATAGAAACTCTGTGCTTTCCACACAACAGTGTAATGCACTTTCGAATGCAGAAACTAGTTTTTTTGTTATTCCTTGGTATCTGTGGGACCTGTTCTCTTTGAATGACAACGCTAAATCCAATATTTCTATATATTGTCTTTCAGAAAGGTCAAAGCACGAATCAAGAGGCGTAAGATGTTCCGTAAAGAGATTGAAGAGATTTTCTATTGCTTGTATTTGCTGAAGTGAAAAATTATGCTTCTCCTTATAAAAAAGGAAAAGAACATCTATCAAGAATTCCGTAAAGAATTCATTCAGTTCATTAGGTCTATAATGGTTAACACACGACTGGATCAAATGGACCAAATCATTATATTCTCTCCCCATCTTTCCCAAAATTCTTATATTCAATCCAGCCACATCCCATTTACCCTCATAAGCATAGGTAATAGTGGTTTCAAGGAGAGTAGCTCTGATAGCCTCTGCATGCTCTGGATGGGATTGAATGTATGTTTCAAAGTTATCAACCAACAATTCCTTAATTGGTGAGTCACCAATCAATTGCTCAACAAACATGAAATTAAACAAGTCAGTTACAGAACTTGGTAAGCCTAACCGTATTTTAAAGTACAGCAAACGATAAAGTCTACGCTCTGACAGATCATCTGGTGGAACGATTTGATAGTTCCATTTCAGTATATCACAATCCAATTCCTTTACTGGAGTAGGGTCATTCCTTGCTATTAAATATTCAAGATAGGTACCAGTTTGTTTGAGTAAGGGAACGAGCTCCATCCCATTATCACAATCAACGATCAGATAGAGCTTGGAGATGAGTTCTTTTGGGAAGTGATTACTTTTATAGAAAATATGGCAAATGTTGTCAACGAATTGAAGATCATCTGGTTGGTGTTCATAATCTTCATTATCTGTTAATTTGGAATAAATCATTTCGAACATATTTTCTAGAATAAGAATACTCTTTTTAGAGATTGTTATATTGATTGAGGCAATGAATCTGGTTGCTTCCAACCATAATGATAAGGCCCAGCTGTGGTTTACCTCAAATAGGTAGCTGGAGTAGAGATCAAAGATGCATGGGTTGACATGATGTCCAAGAGTTCTCACAATATCCATGAGAGCATATTCTCGAGCTGCTTCTGCATGGAGGTTGTCGGTATCATTACATGCAATTATGCATTTCCTTATAGTATTATTATCAGTGGAAAAAGTAACAGGTGGAGATACATTATGAGTAACACACATGTGTACCATGCATCTCATGACATAGGAATATCTGCCTTCATTTGCAGCCACAAATGGATTATACTGTGTAAAGGCACAGGTAGGACAGCGGCAGACAGAAGAAGGTCCTGTTGAAGAGCTTATTACAAATTGTGAAAAAGAGCTCATTTGATTCAGTGTTTCGATTTTTTTAATTCTGTGTACCAAGGTAATCTGCTTTATGAATGAAGAACTTCTTGAGGTGAGTTGGTGCGTGGATTGAGCTCTACCCACGCAACAACTCGGCTCAAGCTTGTACAGTAAATCCATATTAAGGTGATACACTTTAACACGTTGATCAATAGTTAAAAGTACGGTAAATTTGCTTTTAAGGAAGTTTACTAATTAGAAATTTTCATTTACGGTATCTTTAACAAAGAAAGGAGGTTTCAAACTAGAAGTTTGAAATCCCAAAATAAGAAGCCCGTTATATGAACCAATTAAGCTCTGTTCTTTCGTAATGGTTCTCCTCTTCGTTGGTTATGCTTGGGTAAAATGGTACAAGTGCATCTTGGTGACCAATATATACATTGTTGTAAACTTTCCAAAAGGCATTTCTAACCTTTCTTGCAGGACTAAACAGACCTTGCAATAAATACTGTAAAAATACACAAGGGCCCAATGCTACACGAAGAGCCTCAATAGATTCCATGACAGAGTTGATAACATGGGCGGATGTTTCGAAAATGTTGGGCCAAACATAATTCAACAAGTGGAGTAGAATATCCTCTTTTCCTCTGCCATACACACCAAGTGCTATATGTTTCACGGCTGCACATGCTGTTTGTCTGTGAACAAGATCTCTGTCCATTAAGGCATCCTCAATGAGTGGCGTAACAGCATAGATATAATCAGTAGATAAATCTCCAATATATTCAAATAGGAAGGAGAGTGATTTGAGTACACCAGTTCTAACATTAAGCTCAGGTACTCGGTATTCATTCATGAGGGCTGGAAGCACTGTAAATGGGCCACAGGTTTCAGCAACAATGGCAATAGCGATAGTGGTACACACTCTGTTTTGACGTTCTTGGACTCTAAGATTGCTTAGAAGAGTTACCAACACATCTGATGGACCAATTTCCTTGGCAATATAACCAAAAGTTTTGATAGCTGCTCTTCTGATTGATTTCTTGTGAGCTCTAAGCACTTCCAATAAATCAAAACAAATTCTTAACCATTCCTTACCACTCACTCTATTTGCTGATGTCTTGGCAATTGTACCAATCAGGTTGATAAGATTTTCTTCAACCTTCTCGTTCCTGTTTTTAAGAATTGGGGTACATCTGGTGAGAACTTCGTCTATCGATGGTTTGGACTCATCACCCTCACCAAGAGCCTCTACAATGGCATTCATAGAAGCTAATACAGATCCCAAAACATCAGGATATTCTTCATCTCTTAAAAATTCGTAGATTATCATTTTGAATTGAGTTAGACGAGTTTCTTCATTGCAAAGCTTCACTATTGATATCATGTCTGTCAATAAATCAGCTGCTTGTTGTCTAACCTTCTCAGACTTGTTGGTTAACCTGTGAAGAATAGTACCTGTAAGCTTTGGCAAGTACTTTTTACATCTAATACCGAATGCTTTCATTATTGTGGCAACAGAGTTAATTACAAGATAATAATTCTTCTTATCATTTACAGGACTACTTTGATCTTGGACAATACAGAAAATGAGACATTCTTCCAATATTTCCAATTCCAAACGTTCACCAATATCAGCAGTTCCTAGATTTTCAATAATTTTGGTGATTGTTTCCAAGGTCATGTGTCTGAATGGTTCATTTTCGTCTTTCAAATTGCTTATAAGCTCTCCAACAACAAGGGAACAGCCAACATTTGTGGCAATTGCAACAGTTGTTTCTACAAGTTGATTATAGTTTCTTCTATCATTAACCATACTTCTGTCCCAAAAACTAGAAAAGAATTTTGGAATAATTCTCTCTCTGACAAAAGTTGCATCAATACCATCGGTAGCCACGCATTGAGCTACTGCCTTCAAAACTATTCTTTTCATTTCTTCTTCTTGACTATCAAATTGTTTAACAATATTATCAATCACAACAGAAGTATATTTTTTAGCGCTGGTAGCATCCATGAGTGGGATAATATAACCCACAGCTTTGATGTATGCAGCTAGAATCTTACCCTTATTGTTTGACAAACCTTTCCACAATGGTTTCAAAACACATTCAAATGATTCAATACCGAATGGAGCTGATGATTGGGCAAGAGCAGCAACAGCTAAACCAGTCATGCTCCTCACTTTTGGTTCACTATCATTAAATCCATCCTTGATTATTTCTACCAGTTCTGTTAAATATGGCAATACACCACAACCTAATTGAATGGCAATATGTTGAACGATTCTCATACCAGTATGTCTAGTTTCCCAAGTCTTCTTATATTTACAAACAGCCTTTAGGAAAGGTAACAGGTTTTGAACACCCAAAGCACTAGCAACAACTGCAAAGGCTCTACTGGTTGTATTTCTTACATACTCTTCTGCGTGATCAATATCAGGTCTCATAGCAGCTATCATTGTGGCCAAACCGGCAGCTTTTGCAAGATTAGCAATAATTTCTCTTCCTTCAATTCTGGTGAAATAATCTTCATCAATCAACATTGGTTGAGTTACAAGTAATATCTTGTGTACATAAGGTCTAACTAGGTCATCCAATTTGTATAAAATTCTGTCAATTAACTTGACCAACAAGTGTCTTTCTTGTTCTTCCAGAGTTGTTGACATCATTAGTGGCAATATTTGATCGAACAAAGGACCAGCCCCCAATTCTTTGGCATGATCTGTAATAAACTTCATAGCTTGTTTTCTCATTTGTGGGGTACCATTTTTAATCTTTAAGAGCAATTTGAGAATTTTTCTCTCCACTTTTTCTTCATCACTCATATCCTTTTCTTCCTTTTCCTCTAAGAGTTTACTAAAATATTGATAATCGTCTGGTTTCATTTCAGGCATGTCTGCTCCAAGAGTTCCTGTTTGAATTCCAAAATTAGATGCATTCAATTCATCTGGAATGCTATAGTAAGGTGTTGCACTACCATTCAATGGTGTCACTTCTCCACTTGAAAAAGAACTTGTTCTATTTCTTCTCTTAGGAACATAATCTGTTGGGGGTTGAAGAATCTCAAAACCCTCTGATGGAAGAATAGCATCTAGTTCTTCATCAGTGAGTGGTCTGTTTCGGGAATCTATTTCTTGTTCAATCTTTAACTGTGAATACTCTTGTGGAGTCATATTTCCTAGAGGTGTGGCAATCACTGCACCATTTCTACTAAAACCTGAATTTCTTGGTGTTAGGAGAGGAGTTGCAGCACTCGAACTGGATCCGGAATAGACTGGAGTTTTCATACTATTGTCCCATTTTCCAGATCCAACTAAAGGGGTGGCATTGGATGGTCTGCTAGAAGATGAAGAAGAAGCAGAAGACTCTAATCTGTCACCTCTTTTTCTTTCCAATGGCATATAATCTTCATCCGAAGATAAACCAGAACTTTGTGCTGATGAATATCCACTTTTCATTTGAACAAAGTCATCTACATCCTCAACATCATCGTCCATATCTTCCCAAGCTGATTTTTGAATTTTCTTTGGTGGTTCGTTTTCCAAGTTACTTTCACTTGATGAAGATCCGTCATATCTTTTATGTTTCTTGTTATTTTGATCTTCTGTTGATGAAGATACTTTTACTTTTGAATCCCATCTTGATCCTTTCTTCTTTGTTTGTTGTTCGAGATCCTTCTGCTGTGATGAGGAAGCCTCGGATGACGAAGGAAGCATTTTTTAAAATATTTAATTAAATATTTTAAAATTGAAGAGGAAGTAATATTTATTATTGGTCAAAGTTTGGGTTGTATGATGTGATAATTTCATCATCAAGATCCTCCACAACTTCTGATTTGGATTTTTTCTTTTTCTTTCCAGATGAAGTGAGTTTGGATTTGAGTTCCTTCTTGATTTGCTTTCTTGATTGGTTTTCTGTATTCTCTTCTTCAGCAATTTCTGGCTGTTTCATATCCAACTTGTCAAGAGTTTGCAATTCAATAAGACCAACTCTATTAATAGGGGAATAAATTTCCTCTAATAAATCCTTTTCACCTCCATCTCTTTGTGAGAAGGCATAACCAGTACCAAATCGTGTTTCATTGAGTGTCTTCTTCCTATCGAGAGCTCTTGGTTCATATTTTTCAATTTCCTCAATTGGAGCACCAGGTGTAATATAAATACCAATACGATTGAATTTGTCGTATGGTTTTCTGAGAGGGGATTGTAATTTTTGTAAATCAAATTCTTGTTCAACTACTTCTCTTGGAGCTATCGTCTTAGCCCTACTGTATGGTTGAATTACGTGATATAATTGTTTAGTCCATGGTAAAATTCTTACAGCACTCTTCCAAGTAATATCTCTTCCTAATGCCACAACTAAGACCAATGCAAGAGTGAACCAAAAGAGAATATTTCCTGATGAATTGTAAAAATTAAAATAATATTTTCTTCCTAATCCCAATAAGCTGTTGAATGGGAAAAAGCCTGCATCTGGAACAACCCAGTAAAATACAGAGTAAAGAATGGTCCACAAAAACCAAACAGCAACACTTCCCCATAAAAGGATTGAGTTGAAGAAATTCCATGTACTTTTCATTGTTAGGAAAATTATGAAAATAAACTTACCAAGTTTCTACTGCTAATTTAATGTTAACTAACATGATAATGCAAGTATAGATCAAAATACCAAGCTCTTCCAAAGATACCATTTTACCTTCATATAAAGCGCTGTTCATAAATCCGAGAGAAATGATTGGAATAAAGAAACAGCAAAGAGAATGCCAAACAGCATTCAAGATCCACATCAGCAATTCAGGAATGTTGAACTAATTAATTATTAAGAATAATTTGAAAATTATTTGATTACTTACATAGTGATCTCTTTGACCATAAGTGTACAACTCTGGATATTGAAGAGAATTTTCATCGTCAACATCTCTATCAAACATAGCAAATCCAATAACTGGAACTGATGTAAATATCAAGTTAAATGTAGATAACGAAATGTTTTCATACAATGAAGTACCTGTAAATGCATTGAAGAAAATGAAGAAAAATTGTGTCAATTGTAATGTCAAGTTCTTGTAGAAAGAGTACACAATTGTCTTACCAATTCTTCTATAATTCAAACGTCCATGGATAAGTAAAAGTCTCTTCAAGTACTTAAATTGGGCAATAGCATAATCAGCTGCTCTAGCTGCTTGCAAACCTTCCTTACCACTGATACCAACACCAATATGTGCAGCTTGAATCATACTAACATCATTAGCACCGTCACCAATAGCAAGGGTGACAGCTCCAGGTAAATTGTCTTTGACTAATTTGACAATTAAGGATTTTTGAAGAGGAGAAACTCTGCAACAAATTACAGACTTGCAAAGCATACATAATCTAAGGAAAGTATATCTGAGAGGTTCTTCATTTGGATCATCAGCATCATCTTGAAGATCATCAATATCCTTTTCTGCTTCATGGTTTGTTTGACCATCTGATTCATCGTCGTGAAACTCTGTTTCCAAATCTTCAAGTACAATCTTTTCTTTGTTTTGTTCCTTCTTCTTCTTTTTCTTCTTTTTCTTCTTCTTTCTCTCTAAAATAATGTCCAATGCTGAACCATCAACAACAAGACCAAGATTACTTCCCTCTTTGCCTTCCATAGCATTTTTCAATTTCATTCTTATTTGTGTTTTAAGGGATGATCTATTTTCAGCATTAATAATCATAATACTCATATCATTATCGAGCAAAGCACATGCATAACCAATGTTGATAGCTGTCTCTTGCTTGTCACCAGTAAGAACCCAAATTTTAACCTTTGCTTTAGCAAGGGTCGCAATAGTATCAGGAACTTCGTCTTGCAACTTGTCCTCAATAGCAGTTGTTCCTACAAGCATCAAATTCTTTTCAATAACTTCTGCAGCATCAGCAAGTTTTTGCTTCTTATCTTTCAAATCCAATTCGGCTGGTTCATAAACTTCCGTATTCCATCTTTCGTATTCAATAGGATCCAAAACAGCTTTAGCACAAACTAGAGTTCTTAAACCCTCAGCAGCATGCTTTTCTAATAATGCTCTTGTTTCTTCAACATGTTCTTGTCCTGGTTGGAGTCTTTCAAAGACAACGTTATCAGCACCTTTGGTATAGAGTACGATTTCATTTTCGGGAGTTCTAACAATGACGGACATTCTCTTTCTTGTTGAGTTGAATTCCAAAATATTCAAAACGTCATAAGTTCTGGAGACACCAGCGGCATTGATTGTACATTGTTTTGGGGATCTTTCAGTAAAAACAAAACCAAGATATTTAGCTGCCTTAACAAGGGCAGCTTCATCAGGACTAGATGCTTGGTATTCAATATGGTTATTCTTATCAACTTCAGGTATAACAGTATGGCATACAGCAAGAAGAGTCAAAAATTCTTCAATAGTAGATGAACATTTTTCTTTCTTCCAATTATTTTCCATGATTCTTTCATCAGCAAATTGGAAACCATCTTCATTAGGAATAGGTTGTTCTTCCAGTACTTTTTCTCCTCTTCTTTTAGCGGCTGCTCTACCAATTTCAGTAGAACCTCTACCATATTCAACTCCACAAACTGAAAATTTTAAGAATTCCATAACGTTTTGTGTCAATGTTCCTGTCTTGTCACTGAAAATATACTCAACTTGACCCAATTCCTCATTCAAGCTTGATGTTTTAGCCATAGCTGGTATGTGTAAATCATTTGGTTTGTCATAGTAACACATTTGTATGTCGTTATCAAGGAAAACTCTAGCCTGAATAACCTTGACAGTTTCTAGTGTCACATACAACGAAATTGGAATACAATTGTTATATAGAATGAAGAATGTCAGAAAACCTCCAAAGAATTGAGATGCTAATGGAGTGAAATCAGTGAAATACCAATGGTTGTTTTGGTGGTTATTATTAGATTCCCATGCAGTAATTGCTGTAGCAGAAATTAATGCCAAAATTACTTGGGCAAAGAACAAAATCAAAATCATACGATTAGTAATTTTTTCAACTTTTGATCGTTTGGTTGGAGGATTTCTTGAGTTCATCATGAGCTTTGAGTGTTTTCCAGTAAAAACAACCAAACCATAAATATATTTGGTATTCTTAAGGATAGCACCACGAAGTAATACATTTTCAACATCTAGAGCTATTGGTTTTGGATCAGGGTCAATCTTGATATTTCCTGTAAAGTTATAAAGCTTGTTATTCGGTTGTTCACAATTTATAACACCTTTGAGTTTGAGTAAGGCGTTTGGATCAATTAGTTCTGAAGTTGGATGTACACATCTCTTAATTTTAAGATTAGTTTCACCATCCAATTGTGAAGTTTCAATATAACAAATTCCCTGATGTTCACTACTAGAAATACCAATTAAATCCGCAGGGAAAGATTCATCTTGGTTCACTTTCACAATGTCTCCAACTTGAACTTCTTTCCAACACACTTCCATAACCTCCCCATTTCTTAATATTGATATTTTTCTATTATTCACTTCGTTATCCGAAATATGACGTTTTACATCTTCATAGCCATCCTTAATCATTTGAATAATGATAACCATTACCAATGGAAGAGCTGTACTATATCTACCACTGTGAAAATTGTTAAAAACACGACGATAACATTAAAATACATACGTAGGCGAAAAAGGTGTGGCTAATTGCAATAAAGCAATTATGAAAAAGTAAATGTTGGCAACTCTTCTAAATTGCTCCAACAAGTTCTTCGGAATGAATGTAACTAAATTATACTTAGCAGTTGATACTAAAAAGACGAGGTTATTCTTATCAATCACAATTGTCTACCTACCTGAATTATCGCAAAATTTGTTCTCCTTTCTAATGTTGATTGCTTGATCGTTTAAATGAATGACACGAGGAGCAGGAGGTAACCTGTTCCACGGAAGCCAATCATTAAACTGACGAAATTTATCACCATAATTAACACTGGTGATTAAATTAAAGTAACTAGTTAAAGATCTCATCTCCAACTAGTGAATAAATAAAACTAGTCTAGATAATTTAGAAATTGACCAAACTGGTAAATATTGGCCAAACAATCGATTGATGATATTCCTTCTCTTTGTGTTTTAAGGAATAAAACTAGCGAGTGATGATGAAAAGTTAGTGATGACCCAAAGGTTCACTTTTAACGGTCTAGGTATTTTTTTCTGTTAGAAATTAAAATGAAAAGGCGCTGAAATTTTTCGAAAAGGATTGCTTTCCATATTAAAGCAAAGTGTGTCAGCTATTATTCCTACTTTGACTTTATTTCTCTGTATTGATTCATGTGTTGAAAAAGAGAATTGAGAACACAATTATTTATTTGATTTGTTGGATATTAGTTCTTTGTGAGAGAGGCAACAATCATAGTTGTGTTTAGTTCAATTTCATCGTTATCCTCTTTTACATTGAAAGCAAGTGCAGTGTCAGCCAAAACCTTTTCATCCAATAGAGATGGATTACCATTGAATGTTTCTACAAATTCGCCAAACTTGACTCTAATCTTGTGAGAAATCGAGTCTGTAGAAATATCAGAGAAACCTGATTCTTTCAATAATTCTGTGAATTTCTCTGGTTCGCTGAGTGTTTGAAAAGTCATTTTAGTATCTTTCATTGTTCCATGCTTTTGAGCAGATTGTATTGGAATGGCCATTGGAAAATCATAAGCCCATGCATTAATGAAAGCATTTGATCCTTGCTTCATAACTCGATGTATCTCTTTGAAACCCTTAACAAAGTCAGGATAAAAACAAACACCAGCGTTAGAGAATACAAAATCAAAAGTCTCATTTTCAAATTTCAATTCTTGGCCATCCATTTCTTGAAAATTCAAAACGCTGGCCCTCAATTTTTCTTTCTTTTCTTTGGCGAATTTGATGAGTGGAGCCGAGAAATCAATTGCCTCAATATTAGTATGAACATCAAGATCTTTTACAACATCATAAACTTGGAATGCAAGCAATCCAGTACCAGTACAGAGATCTAGAATGTCAATTCTCTTATTCTTTGTTGTGAACTCTTCAATGTTTGCCCTATTTATCAAGTTTTGAGCATAGAAACCAAGGTATAGATTAGCTCTATCATCCATCAGCTTGGGATCCTGCCAAAATTGCTTTTTGAATCTATCAGAGTCTTGTGGTTGTTGTGTTGACATTTTTTGTTGGTTAGTTGGGGTTTGTGAGCACGCACAAACTCGTACATGTTGAGTAAAAGTTAGTGCGTCTTCAATCAATTTTGATCAAATGAGATTTCCTTCACTTTCAATATCTTTTTCAATATTATTGTAAACTTGATAAAAACAAAATTCTTGTCCTCAAAAATGCTTAAAAGAAAGCTGAGCGAGAGCCAACATTTTGAATTTTGCTCTGGCGTTATTGAGAGTGGTGAATATGTCCTCCTAAGAAATGCTTCTTAATACTACTTGATAATAGGTTATCAATTGAATTCTTCAATCTAATCTTCCAAAATTTTGTTTGGTTTGCTTAGACAGGACATTAACTGTGATTTATCTCCTCCTTTGACCCACTTAGACTGCGTGTTGTTCTTTTCTTGTGTTGGTTGGTTGTCTCGTTTTTGTACTTCTGTTTTTATTGTTTCGTCAGTGCTTAACTGTGTTGTAGTGCAGTTGGCTTGTGAGTCCAATGGTTTTTGGGTTAGTATTACTGAGCGTGTAATTCAAAAATTTTGGACTTAGCCTTGACAATAATTTTCACAAATGGACCACCATCTTATAAACTTTCGGAAACACAGAATCAATAGCCTGGTTGATCATACAAAATGGATCAAATTTCGATGATACAATATTTCCCGCCAACTTTGTAGACACTCTTTAAAAAAAATGAGCAGCAATAATCTAATTGAGCCAATGCATGTCGATGATGACATGGACGTTGAACCAGTGGAGGAAAACAATGAAGATTGGAACGAAGGAAAGAATGAGGAAAATGGCTCTCGTCCACCAACAGTTACATCAGTTTATTCGGGAAAGCAAAAAGAGGAAAGAGACACTGCTGCGGAAATAATGGCAGAAAAAGTCCAGCTTTTGAGACCTCTGACTAAGATGAGATTTACTAGAAAATTTAAACATTTCGGAAGGGAAATACAAAATATTGAAGAGGATACTAATGATTCATACAGGTTTTTCCCTCCTGTTAAGGACCCAAGATATCAACCAGCAGATCAACGATTGGAAAGGGATTATGGAGTACAATGTGGAGAATCTCTAGTTGAATCAACAGCACAAACAGAGTGGTTCAGAAAGGTTAACCATTTTTCTCAGGTAAACATTTCTGAATCAGTCTCTCAAACAGATATTCAGGAAAGTATGGATAGTCCTGCAGTGGAAGAATTCTTGAAAAATGTTTCCGAATTGCTTTTTGAAGCATTAGATCAAAATACAACAATAGATATTTTCAAGGATGATTTTGTTGATTTGGTTATTGATGATTCTTTCATTGGAACAAAATCGGAATCACAATTCATAGAAATACAATCATTCCCTCACGCAATGTCAAAATACAGAAAAATTGCTTCCCTTGATTGGCAACCAAATAATAGAGCCGTTATTGCATTAAGTACAATAGATATTAGAGATTTTAGCTCTAGGGTATTGGATTTGGGTAAACCCACATCTTCTCAAGTGTATATATGGTCATTCCAAGATCCAACCTATCCAAGTTATATCCTTAATGCCCCCAATGATGTTAGTGCGATTCAATTCAACCCTGCAATGCCCTATATTTTAGCAGGAGGTATGATAAATGGCCAAATACTCATTTGGAACATTGAAAAGGAAGAAAAGGAATTTGAAAAAATTATAATTGATATGAAGGGCGATGAAATTGAAAAGCCTCAGATACCAACTCTTGAGTACTCTCAGATTTCATTGACTGAAATGAGTCACAAGAGTGCAGTTACAGGAATACAATGGATTACAAAAGGAAAAGAGGTTAGAAATAATGGAACAATGGCTGCAATCAATGAAGAAGAATGTTATCAATTTTTAACACTAGGAATGGATTCTCAAATAATACTTTGGGATATTAGAAAGGAAAAGAAAAGATTATCAGTCAAGAAGAGTGAAAGAATGAAAGATGCTTGGATACCATTTGCTGTCATGCCAATTCTTCAGTTGGATCTTACTTCTGAACTCCCAACATTTGCCTTATCTGTAAGCATGAAGAATCCATATCAATTGTGCTGTACAACAACCGAAGGAGAATTTATCACAGCAGATTGGTCACCGGTTGAAGGTGAGGGAGCTAACGCAGAAACAACATTCAATTCTGTGAATATTGCTAACGGAATTTATGGAAGATCGAATGGCCATTTGGGATTGACCCATTCAATTTCAAGAAGTCCATTCTTTGACGATATTTTGCTAACTATTGGCAAAGCCACTTGCAAAATTTGGAAAGTTGGCTGCCCTGATCCAATTTGGACTAGTTGTTTCAAGTTCAATGTTTCGTACTCATGTGGAAGTTGGAGTCCTACTCGTCCAGGTGTTTTGCTACTGGGTCGAAGTGATGGTTTCATTGAAGTTTGGGACTTCTTGGATAAGTCTCATGATTGTAGTATGGTTTCCCACTTTTCAATTTCCCAACAAAATGTACCTCTTACAGAGCTCAAGTTTAGATCTGGAACGGGAGTAGGAAAACTCTCATTCCAATTTATTGCAGTTGGTACTCAGAATGGATCTCTATCTGTTGTTGAGGTGCCTAAGAATTTAATAAGACCTCTTCCAGATGAAGAAAAACTTGTTAGAAACCTCTTCAATCGCGAACATGAAAAGGTTCTGTACTTTAAAGAAAGATGGAAAATCAGAGAAAAAGAAGGAGAAGAAAAGAAAATTCAACAATTATCTGAAAAGTCAAGTGATACTGCATCCGAAATAGGAACCACCACTGGTTCTCAACATACTCAACAAAACACAAACCAAGAATCAGTTCAATCAGAGAAGAAACCAATGATAGACAAGGTAGAATTGAAAAAGAAGTTTTTACGGCTGATTCAAGAGTAGACAAACCAAGTTCTATAAATGTTAGTTTCCTATTTAATCAATCAAAACAAAATGCAGCAAACTTTAACACCTCACTTCTTCATTCTCGTACTCATGCTTCTGTTACTCTTGAATCGGATTGCACTCTCTAAAGATCTCATCTTCATATCACATCCAGATAATGTGATTTATTATTTTCCAATCTCTCCATCGGTGTCTTGTACTGAATTTTCAACAGGAGTGGAAACTAATTTAACCATTTCAACATTTTATGAGAATGAGCAATCACCACTTCTTAATTTGTACAACAAAAACCAAAGTACAACATACAATTATTCATCCCCTTTTTATTCAAACTTTACTCTCAATGTAACTTGTACTAGTGGAGGAGTCCAAGCATTCAAATTCCTTAATTATCATATTGTATTAAGGTAAGCGAAAATTATTTTCTTAAATAAGAAATTTCCTTTTAAACTAGTAATCCCAAACCACCTATTATTTTACCAGAACATTATTCAGCTGCGGATGCTATACCTCTAACTATTTACATTAACATGTTTGGACAACTGGTTGGTGATCTGGATATTTGGTAAGTTATTCATATTTAGATTTTTTTCTCATCTTTTTGGTTTTATCACTTTTCCATTTGTCCCACATCATTGATATTAATACTGACACATGTGTGACCTTAACACATGCTTAAACACATGCATGTAGGTCAACTGAGGAAATCATGTATCATGTCAGTACCCATGAAATATCCTCACTAGATGGTGTTTCTTACAATAATTATGAAATACCATTCACGATCATGGCAAGTTCTGAGAATTTACTTGTACATGTTGTAGCCAAAACTCAAAAAATCTATCCAAATGGTATTGTTTTAGAGAGTGAAGTGGCTTCTAGAATTTATGAAATACCTCCCCAATGTTCTCTTCCTGTTCCATCAAAAACCAGTGGTACATACACAGATGATTCTATTTCTATTAGTTTCACTCCATCAAATGTTCAAGTTTTTTATTCGATCGATGACGGAGATTTTATCTTGTTGAATGGTTCTATTATGATTGTAAATGATGGAAGGAAACATAATGTTGAGGTTTATTCTATTTCCTCAACTTGTTATCCAAGTCCTATCATTGAATTAAGTTGTAAGTTGATTGTCAAGTGAAAGAATTTTAACAATTTTAAAAAGATCAAATGAAACAAGTGGTGGAGAAACCAATTTTTGAACCTTTGAATGATGCTATTATTGGAAATTTATTCGGATCTCAAATTTCTGTAACTTGCCCAAACCTAAACTCAATTGTTGAGTGTTTTCTGAACTCGGTCAACTATACCTCAACACGGCATTCATCCCTTAACCAAACAATTACTCATCCTTTAAATTTAACATGTACATGCTATGATCACGAAAAGAATATAACTAGTGAATGGTCCTCTCAAGTTTATTCCTCATTATACTACATTCCGAAACCAATTCTATCTGTTTCTTCCACAACAAATGTTGGTCCATTAGAAATTTCTCTCAAATGTGCTCAAATCTATTCCAAAGATCATTCATGTGATGGATTCATCTACACAACCGAAAGTAGCATCTCTTCCATAACTAAACCAAATATGTTGGGAACTACAACAGTATTACTAAGGGCATTGAGTGAAAGCGATAATAATTCAACTATTACACATGACAATACGACATTGATTATTCAAGATTTTGCCACAATTATGTTGAAAAATCAAGGACTTAACAATTTGAAGGTTGTTGCATTTGATTCTAAAAGTGGATTAGTTTCTCCACAAGTTGAAGAACAATGTAAGTTTCAAAGTTGTAACGATATGCTTTAAGCTTTTCTAGATTTCATTATTGGTATTATTGAAAATCCAATAATTAGTGTTTCTCCTTCATTGGAAAAAGGAGAAACCTTAGAAAGTAAACTATTTATCAACTCGGCAGTGATAGTCGTTGATTTTGAGAATTTGGAGGCAGTTGCCAGTGCTATCCGAATAGTCAACCGAATGGATGGAACGGAGACAACAAGTACCAAGCTAACTCCTTTCACTCTCGTATTGGAAACTAACTGCACAGTTTACATGAATTTTACAAAACTTCATCATTTGCCAAGTAGTGAGTATTCATTCTCAGTGAGTGTAAAGATTGTCAAGTCGAACAATATCATCCCTGTGGTCCCAATTGTGTTGACATCAAGTTTGAAAGAAACCTTATTTAATGTACAGGTAGTCCTTGTTGTGGTAGGATTATTTGTGTTGGCTTTTGTTGTTTCCTTAATAGTTTTGGTTATCATTGTTAAAAAACGAAGAAACTATCTTCATAATAAGAAGCTAATGGAATATGATATCAATTTTGATAATGTAATACTCAATTCAAGAGAAGAATAAACAGTATTAAATTGATATTCAACAAGTTAGTATTGATTTGTGCGCCAATCAGAGCAGCAACATTTATTGTTCCTCTGCTATTGGTTGTACATTATCTTCCTTCTTGAAATCTCTCAAAACAGGATAAATATTTTGGAAAGCTTGATAAATAGTATCTCTATGTTTGGCACCAGTAAGAACAATCTTTCCTGAAACGAAGATCAACAAGACAACCTTTGGGTCAACCATTCTGTAAATGAGACCAGGGAAAATTTCAGGTTCGTAACTTGCATAACTGTGATGTTGACAGTTCAAACCTTCAAGACGAACTGGAAATCCAACATCACAACTTCCGACAATATTTTGAATTTTAAATTCTGTAAATTTAGCATTAAAACCCAATTTTTGAATAATACGAGCATACTTTCTAGCAGCTAATCTAGATTCTTCCTCAGATTTAGCACCCTAAATAATGTGACAATTATATAAATTAGAAATAAATTATTACTTACGGTCACAACCATTTTACCACTTTGGAAAATCAGAGCTGTAGTTTTTGGTTCACGAATACGCATAATCACAGCAGCAAAACGTTTAGGATTATATTCAGCATTTCTTGCGTGCAAAGCAATCATCTTTAATTTCAATTCGCAAGCAAGATTTACCGTAGAAACAACATTTCTAATAACAATAAATTAGGATAACATATTGATCATCACAAAATTTGTTAGCACCACATTAAAATTAATACTATTACTTACTGAATAACTGGAATAATACCTCCACTGTCCAATTCAGGGACTTGATTACTAGGTGTAGAGGCATATTGATTAGGCATTGGTGTTGATGTTGTTGGAGGTCCCATTTCTCTTGATGTATTCATACCATAAGGTAAAGGTGTTCCGTAGGGAAGAGGTGTTGATGTCGGCATTGGTGTTTGTACAGGAATTGGTGTATAAGGAGAAGAATAGGATGAATGTGCCATCATTGGTGTACCTGGCACTGGTGTCGATGGTGGTAAAGGTGTAGAAACACTTGTAGGAAGTGGTGTACTAACCATTCCATATCCTCCTAAAAAACCTCCACCTCCAGTCGCAAGACTATGTGGGGTCATGGCGCTCGTTAAGTTATTCAAGATGTCTTCATATTGTGGGTCTTCTCCAGTCATTTTTTTGTTTAATGCATTAAAAATAAAAATAGCACCACTATTTATTTTTTGAAAATCGGATGATGAAAGTTTGTAGGTGAAGAAGATGAAGAAGAATATTGTTTTTGGTGATAAGCAATTAATTTATTATTTTGATGAAGAATGTTTGGATTACAGGATAAGAATTGAGAAGGAATAATTTATTTCATAATTCTTCATATTCATATTTAAATTTATTTATTCAATAATATTTTGATGGAGTTTATTAATTATTTAATTTGATGATTGTCAGCGAAGCAATCCGTATATGACGAGCACAATATATCATACATTGATGACATTTATTCAGGAAAAGAGAACAGTACCGTAATACAAAAGAGAGTTATTATTATGTATTGAAGCATAAATTGTGTTTTCAAAGAAAGAAACACAAAAAAAAGCCTATCTAGCTTCATACAAAATCCCTTATCATCATTGAATAATAATCATTCCATTATAATGGAGCCAATCATTATTGACGAAATGGATCGTAACTCTAAGGAAGAATCTAATAGAATCCTTAAGGAACATTCCAATTTCCCAATATTTCAAGGGAGTGGAAATAGACATTTTCTATCCTTCTCTCCTTATACTCCTATGAATCCATCAAAGTTTGGAAGTTGTGAAGATGTAAATCAGGCAAAATTATTCCTAACAACTGCTCCTGAATTAAAAGAGAAACGGTCATTGTTTGGTATTAAGAAATTGACGGATTTGAGTCAGATAGTATACATCAATAGTGTGTTTGGTGAGTTGGTGGTTCTTTTCGAAGAGGAAGAAACGAAAGTTCTTGTTTTATACCATGTCGGTAAATTCTCAAATGTCAATAACATTAGTGAGTATACCACAAAGATAACTGAGATATCATTGCCAGTTATTCCAGTATTTTATGCAAATCAACAAAGTGGAACAAGAAATTTGACGAAAGAAGATGTGGTGTTTATCAACTTTAGTTGTGACACCAATAGAAGAGTGTACTTTATTCAATTGAGGAATGGTAAGGTATATGCAAGGTATGTTAAAAATTTAATTGACTTATACTCACAGTATTTAGAGGTACCAATACATTTAATGAATTGGGATTACTCAATAGATGCGATTTCGTTGAGGATTGGAATCAAGTTGATTTCATAGCAAAGAATGAGTATATAACAACCATTAAAACCAATTCTCACAGTTCTGTGTTTGGAACACAAAATGGAAAGTGGTACATTTGTGGAAAAGATACCTACTTTTTACGAAAGAGAATGATTGATTTTGATGATGTACAAGTTGATTTTATTGAGGCAGATGAGATGGATTCTCCATATATTTGCTCAATAGAAATACCTAATGAAACAATAGTTTCCGTACAACAATTATTTGTTGGCAATTTTCTAGTTACCAAATCTGGTAAAGTATACTCAACATTCAGAGAAAGATTGAATATAATTACAGATTTGTTGAATGATAATTCCTCTCATACATTGAGAGTTAATAATTTGATCTTTAATAATGAAAGTACAGATAATATCGATACAGTACAAAGAGAATGCTTTTTGTTAGATTTACCTTTTCCAATATGTGAAATAAGGTCAATAGACAACAGTATGCTTGTGGTAAGGGATGAGGACAAAAGATTATTTGTTTCAAAGAAGTCCAACTTTATTGATTTAGAAATAAGTCATGTAAGAAGAATAGTTAATTCCACTGATGAATTCTTTATTGTTTCGAAATGGAATAATATTTATTCACTGTATCCCTCTGCTGCTATTCCAAAATTAAAGGCTATCGAACTTCCAAGAGATTTGAAACCAGTCCCTGTTGTTCGCCCAACCAAATGGAGAAAAATTAATGTTGGTCAAGCTAGCTCATCTGTTCAAGATATTGCACCAAAGTTACCCTCAGAAGTTGAACCTGTTTACAATTTATGGGAAGCTTGTGGCTCTCTTGAGATTAGAAATATTCTCAGTATGACCACTACTTTCTTTGTTATTGTAGTTGAAGAAAGCAAAGAAGAGGTCAGCAAACATTTTAGGCATTCAATGACAGATAACAGTTCATATATTTTGAGTGATTTGAATATCATCACTCACCAATAAATTTAATTCAATTTAATTAAGGATTCTAACCTTTTGTAAGACTTTGTTTTTCCATAAATGAATGGTTTTAAGAATCGTACTGGTTGACTACACAATATTGTAAATGTTCTGTTCCTTTTTGTTGGGCTCATTTTCATTTGTGTCACCTTTCAACTACTTTACTTCACTATTAGAAAAAAACCAACAATTTTGCCATCATCAGTTGGTTTCACTCGCCAGCAGCACAACTTTCCGTACGATCATCCTTCCGTTCTACAACAAGAAGAAATTAATTTATTAGAAAGTAATAATACAATACTTTCATACAAAAACAATTAGAGAAATTTAATTGGTAGAAGAAATCTTTAATTTCAACTAAAATAGATAATCGATGGGACAAAATAATAGTAATTCTTATCCTCTCTTTGAGAGTTTCTCGGAGAGTGAAAGTTCCAACATTATGGAAGTTTCTAATTCCAATTCAATACAAGATGATACTGTTAAAAACCTAAGAAGGGAAAAGCGAGAACGTTTACTACAACATATAGGATTTGTATTCTACTTACTACAGACACAACCACAATATTTATCCATGTTAGTTAAACATGCACTAGATAAGATGAATGGTGATGATGGATCTTATAATGATGGTGATGAAATGGAATACATCAAGTTAACTTATATGATTTTTAATCACATGAAGACAAAAAGATTAAAGTTTCTCTATTTGAGATCCATCATTCAATTACTTTATATGATTAGATTGAAGGGAAACAAATCATTGGATAATTTGTTGAGTATTTTGACAGTAGAAGATCCAGTCACTCAAAGAAATAATTATTTGGATAAGGTTGTTGAAACTGTTCTTTCTCATTATCATGGTGTGGATTTATCAATTGTCAATTTGGATAAGATGAAAAGAAGAAGTGCAACTGTTGTCTATTATGGTAAGGTTTCACAATATCATCAAGAGCAACAGGAATTTGGTAAATATGGAGGAGGTGCATTGAAAGGTGTCAATACTAATACTGCAAACTCTTCCACTTCTCCTTCTTCTGGTGATAATAGTGCTAGTAGTGGTAGAATTGAGGGATCGACAGATTCTAGCAATGATAACAATGGTAGTGGTAATAATGCATCAATGAATAGTACCTCTTCCGAACCAAATGCTAACGATCACTCGACTCAAGCACTCTCAAATAATATTTCTGATATCAGTAGTGCAATACTCGCTCATAATACAAATAATGAATCAAAGGAAAATAGAGAATCCTCTTCATCAGATGATGAAGAAAATGAGAATTCATCTGTCCAACAACTTACAACTGCTATAGCAATTCAAACCAGACCTAGTAGTCAAAGCGTGTTGATTACTGGAAGTGGACGTTCTAGAGCTGGTTCAAGTTCTCAATCACCACCTGTTTATTTGGGTGTTGGTTCTTCTCCTGCGCTGTCTTCTTCACCAACCATTCATGAATTGGGAAAGCAAATGATTTCCTCCTCACCATCAACCAGATATTCCTATTTGGGTTCTTCTCCTTACTCTAGCTCACCAGTCAATGATGACAGACTTGAATTAAGAGTGCACACAACCATGTCACCTGTTGCTGGTTCTCATTTAAGAATGGGTAGTATGGATTCATTACGTTCAAGCGTTAGTGACGAAAATTCACAACAAAACAGTATCCTCTATGATTCAGCTGGTCGTTCAAATGACATACTTTCCTCTTCTGCTCCTTCAAGTTATGAAAATGGTCTTCCTATGGGAAATGGTATTGGAAATAATTTGTATGGAAGTCCATCAACGAGTTCTTATCTTTCTCCTTCCCCTCAAACTCCAACTGGTGGAACCTCCATGTTCAGAAAGAGTTTTGACACTACTTCAGATGTTTCAGAACAATCAATTTCTGAATTTCCAACTGTTGGAATGAAGAAGATTTTCTCTGATTCCATTAACAAAATGAAACAACGTGCCAAATTACAACAAGACATGAAAAACTTTGAAGAAATGCGTCAAGCTAGTCTTTCACAAGGAGCTGGTCTTGTAGTAATCAATGGCAACGGTTCTGGTTCATCACCAACCACTCCAAGAAAGAATCCAAACTTGGATATTCCTATCAGAACTAAAGAATACAGTTTGGAAAAGAAGATTCAAATATGGGAAAATATTCTTGACAAGATTCATGAAAAGTTGATTTTGCACTTGAAAGAAGCTCCATTCGAACATCAGTACAAACTTGCCTATATTCACTTCTTCTTGACACAAATTTTCGATTATGCTTCCAAGAGCAGTGCCAATGTTAATGCCTCAGGAAACAAGATTAGTTCTACAGAGCTTGCCAGTGCCTATATTGTCAGTTCCTACTTGAGAATTAACAAGATTAGAAAAAAGTTACAACAGGTTCTCATCAACAATAACGTCAGATCAAAGGAAAGCCACATTTCTCAATTTTTGGATATCATGTCTGGTCATGATTCATGTTTACAAACTAAGGAATACAAAGGAGTATCAGAAAAAGCTAGTCAAATCAAAAAGACAATTCTTAATTGGATTTTGGAAATTAAAATAACCAAGCAAAATAGATCAAAGCAACAAGCATTCTTGGAAAAGTACTATGACATTCCTTCTGATTCAGATGTGATACACAAAGCAGATCCTTCAATTTTCGTCAAGATTGGTGATTTCCTCAATTTGGCTAAAATCATGTTCTTCAATTCGAGTGTAGACGACGAAATGAAAAAGGTCTTGACAAATATTAGACAAAATTTGAGATATATTCTCTCATCTCCACCAAATCAATCACTTTCCAATAATAATGATTCACCATCTCAAAAACCAACCAAGGAAACCAAAGATTCTAAAGATGACTTTAAGGACTTGAAAGAACCACCAGCATCAACCAACAATGAAGAACAAACTGCACCAGGAAACAGTGAACAGGATGCTACCTCACCTTCCTCCTCCATTAATTTTGTACTCTACTGCCCTGATAGACGATATGTTCCACTCTCCATTCCATCTCTCAAATATTTTGCCAAGCATCTCACTAATACTGACTTTAAGGTCATCATTGACTCTCCAATCGAAAATGCTCTAATTGAAAAAGTTCCACAAACTCCAAAAACATTCTCTGACATTACATTCTTCTTTAACTAATAAAACCAATGTTGTATCTGTCAAAGCACCTTTCTATTTGTTCTTCGATGTAATAATACTTATTTGCTTTTTTTGAAACAATTTGAAATGGCGCCAAATTTTAAAACTGTAAATTAAATTTTAAAAAAACAAAATGGTCAACACCCCAGTACAAGTTTGTGTCAGAACGAGGTACGTGAAGAATTTTATAAATTTATTAATACAATGATAATTTAGACCGACTGCTTTCTTTGCTCAGGATGTGATTGTTCTTGATGAATCAAAAAAGAGCATTGAGATTAAGAATAAGGGAAGATCTGGAAAACAATCGGGAAATGTAAATTATTTGGAAACAAAGAAGGAAGATTATTCATTCAAATTTGATAAAACACTTCATAATGTATCACAAGATACAGTATTTAATGAATGTTGTTATGATATTACAAAATCATTCCTTGAAGGTTATAATGGAACTGTGATGGCCTATGGTCAAACTGGTTCAGGTTTGTATTTTGAGTTTATAATTTCTAATTATTGAAACAATCAAAAAGGTAAGACCTACACCATGATTGGAGCTGCCAACAATTATAAGAATAGAGGTTTAATACCAAGAGCAATTCAACAAGTGTTTGCCGAAATGTCAAATTATCCTGAAAAATCATTTACATTACGAGTTTCTTATATGGAAATCTATAATGAACAATTATTTGATTTATTATCTGATATTAGTGACACTCAATTGGCAAAAGCTAAAAATGATGCATACGATGACAATATGGTTATTATGGAGGATAATAAGGGAACTATCATGGTTAGAGGATTGTCATGTCACATTGTTAATAGTGAGGAAGAAGCCTTATCAATGCTTTTTGAAGGTGAAACAAACAGAGCTATCTGTGAACATCAATTGAACAAGGCCTCAACAAGATCTCACTGTGTTTTTACAATGTATTTGGAAAGTAGAAGTAGAGTTGAATCAGAAGGTCAAACCGTTCAATCCAAGTTGAATTTGGTTGACTTGGCTGGTAGTGAAAGAGTTTCTAAAACTCACTCTAGTGGACTTGTTCTCACTGAAGCAAAATACATCAACAAGTCACTTTCGTTTTTGGAACAGGTTGTTATTGCATTGGGAAATCCAACAAGAGAACACATCCCTTACAGACAATCCAAGCTTACCTATTTCTTAAAGGATTCTTTAGGAGGTAATTGCAAAACTTTGATGATTGCGAACGTATGGGGAGAAGAACAACATATTGAAGAAACAATTGGTACGCTTAAATTCGCCACTAGAATGATGAGAGTTTCCAACGAAGCAATGATTAATGTTCATATGAACCCAGATGCTCTCATTAAAAAGTATGAAAAGGAAATTAAAGAGCTGAAACAAGAACTATCCATGCACGATCAATTGAGAGGAATCAATCAAGCAAATTATGACCCATACACCGAGGAACAAAAGGTTGAATTGAGAAAGGAAATTAGAAGCTATGTAAATGGAGAAGTGGAAGAGTTGGAAATTAAAAACATCAGAAGAATTAAGGAAATATTCGTACAATTCAAAACCTTGTTGAAAGAGGCCTCTTCTTTCACAGAACCAGAGTCTATTCATTCAGCTTCTAACAGAGAAAAACAGCAAACAGCTCCAGCTTCCAATTTTGCAGGAAAAATCCATGAAGAGAAAATTCATGAGGAAAATGGAGTTGGTGAAGTTGAAAGTAAGACTGGTTTTGGATTTGGAGAGGCAAAACCAAATGTTGATTTCCAAAAGAAAACAAAGAAAGCTACAGTTTTATCAGCAAGGGAAGAAAGATCTACCTCAGCTGTTGTTCCTGATACTGAAAGGTCAAAAACTGCCAGCAAGATTATCATGCCCAGAAACGATGCCTTTGAGGAGTTTAAACACACAGTTGGAAAACAATTAAGTGAAAGTATTAAGGAAAATTCTGCTTCCTTGAAGGAAAAGAAATCTCTCTTCAAGAATGTAACCCAAAGGCTTAATGATATCAAGGCAGATATTGATAATTTAAAGACCAAGATTGATAAGAAACAAGTTGAAAATGCACATTGTAAGTTGTTGAAATTGTTTTAAAGTTCGCTATAATTATTATAAAGTGGGAGATGATATTGTGGATGAAGAAGAAATGCTATTCTTCCAAAGCATTAAGGAAAGAAAGGAAACATACAAGCAATCCTTTGAGGAAAGAAAGATGTTGAAATCCGAAATTGATTATCTTGAGAAGGCCTTAGAAACTTTGAGACAATCTCTTGTAGCTGATTTCCAAGCCTATTACGACGAAAGGTACATGGAAGAAGAAGACAATAGACCAACTCAATCATCTAGAAGTTCCAGATACAGAGGATTAGATCAGGAAGGAAAAGAAGATGTGTTGGATGAGGGTGAAAAATTCGAAAAGCTCCAAATTGAAAGACTTCAACAAGAAGACCCAGAGAGTCTTAACTATTATCTTGCCTATAAGAAAGCTTCCAAGGTGAAGAAGAGTGTAAATAGGAGACAATAAATGCATGCTTAATACAATTAAGCTTATTGAATATTTGTTTTTCTTGAATCCTGGAACACGTCAGAAGCAACAAGTTAAAAGAAGAGTATGGGTTATTTACATTTAAAAATTTATCTGAAAGAAGAAACCCCAAAATTTGGAGCACTATTTTTCAAGACCTTAGTAATAGTTGGTTTTTTAACAATTGGCTTCTTTACAATAGTAGGTTCAGAGCTCACTTTCTTCATTGGAATGTTGATAGATTTTACAGTTGGTACGATTGCTATTGGTGATAAGTTATTGTCATCAACATTTTCCTTGTTACTAGACACACTAATGGAATCAGCTTCAACATCTTCCATATTATCAGAGTCTGGTGTGGAGACAGAACAAACTTCTTCAGCTTCAAATGATTCTGGTAAAGTTAATTTGTACAATTCAACCAATTCTTGTCTTGGTTGAGTTTTTGGAAGAGATTCAGGAAGCTTTCTCTTCTTCTTTTGTGGAGTTGTTCCTGTTGGTTGATCAGTATTCAAACTAAATGTATCCAAGCTACGCTTCATATCATTCATTCTTTCAGAAACAAATTGATTCTTATATTCATTAACCTTTTCATGTTGAGAATTGTGAAGTTCAAGATGAGTGTTAGCAAACATTGATAGACGATTTTGGTAGTTGTCAGAACGATGTTGCAATTGATTGTGGTATTCTTGGAAGGTAGAAATGCTCTTGCATGATGAGGCAGAACATTCATCCATAAAGACCTTTTGGGATTGCTTTGAGGTATTAACAAACAAATCGAGAGATGAAGTATTAGAACCAATAGCTTTCTTAGTATTGTTATAGAAAGAATTAATGTTGGTGGTAAGGTTGGTATTTTCTTCTGAAATATTATCCATCAAATTTTCAATGTTAATTCTTGACTTGGTCATGGATTGAATTGCATCTTGTTGATTAGATCCTAGATTGGTCTTGATCTTTTCCAAATTGAACAATGATTCATCAGTGTTCTTCTTGACAGATCCATCCATTTGTTGGACAGAGTTGACAGAATAGTCAAAGAACTTTTGGATTGTTTGTACATTCTCGGTTAACTCTACTTCTTGTGAAGTAAAAGTATTGTCAATAAGGCTTTCAAAATTCTTCAACAATTCTTGCTTAAGGGATGCATTTTGAAGCTTTTGTTGTTTGAGCATTTCATTCAATTTTTGACTATTGTTATTAGATTGATTGATATGGTCAGTAACAGTTTGTTCAATCTCTTGTTTCAAACCCTTCATCACTTCAGAGTGTTTACCAGCAAAATTTTCCAAAAACTTTGTGTTTCTAGTAAGAGTTTCAACAAAGAAAGTGTGAATATTGAGCATTTCACTTCTCTGGGCAACAATTTGTTCGTTAATGATACCAATTGATGTTTCAAAGGCATTCTTCATAGTCATCATGTTATTGATGAGAGTAGCTTCAAATGATTGATTGGTGGAAGACAAATCGTCCAAAGTCTTGGATTGGCTATCAGATTTGTTGGCAATCATTTGGATGATTTCATTTTGTGATGTAGAAAAGAGGTCAGACATGGATACAAGTTGATCTCTAACATTCTTTGTATGAGCATCCTTTTCAATAATGAATTCAGAAACAGATGTCTTGGCAGAGCTGTTAAGTGCTTCAAAAGTGGCTTGGAGTAGATGAACCTCATCAACTGATCTACCAAACTTTTCATCCATCGTATTTTTGAATTGTGAAATCAATGTTTGATTTTCATTTTCAACTTTAGCCTTTCTGTCAACTTTTGAAATGAATCCATCAACATCAGAAATGCTTTCTTTAAGATTATTCAAAAGGTAATGAGCTTGAGATAAAAGTTGTTCCTCGGTTTCTTGAGTCTTTCCAAGAACAAAATTAGTGGCTCCCAATTCAACCTTGGTATTCTTGAGATCGATTTCTGTTCTCTTCAGTGTATCTCTTGTAGAAGAAAGTGTTTGTCTAGTTTCACCATGTTCAGCTATTTCTCTCTGGAGGTCTCTCTCTTTTTCTTTAAAGAGGATGGATAATTCTTCATATTCTTTGACTCTGAGTTGAAGTTGATCTTCCATATCCCTGATGGTGGCTTCTTGTTCTTTCAATTTTCTATTAGTTTCTTCATAAATTTCAGGTGCCATGTAAATACCGTTCTTGAGTCTTTGGGCATTAAGTTCAGCTTTGAGTTTTTCCATATCAGAAGACATTTCCTTGATCAATTGGGCCTTAGAAACCTTCATATTGACTTCAGGTTTGTTCTTAATACTCTTAGCTTTGTGAGCATAATCGACTGTGCTTAAAGTTTCTTCAATACACAAAATTGATGGAGAGATAGTGGCGATCAAACAAGTCTTTGTCTTACCACCCAAACTGTCTTGTAAAATTCTAGTTAACTTTGATTCTCTGTATGGAATGTGTGGGCTGTGTTCAGTGAGAGCTGTAATAACTCTTCCCAAGGTGAGCAAACTTTGATTGATCATACCAGCTTCCTTAGCTCTTTGTTTAACAGCTCCTGATCTACCAATATTTTCACTACCAGCCAAATCTACAAGATTGAGTTTACCAGTCTTGATAAATTCCTCACCTTCATCGTTAACTTCTCTCATATGAATAGTAATTGTAGTAATACAGTGAGAACGACTTGAGGATTTGTTCAAATTAGTTTCAGCCATTTGTCTTCTCTTTTGGGCATCCTCAACAATGGAAATGATTTGAGAGGCATCCCTAACATTGATTTCTTCCAAACCAGCTACAACAGTACCCTTTCTACCAGTACTATCATCGAATATTTTGAGCTTATTCTGTCTATCTGTGAGTAAATCTTGTAATTCTTCATTATATAATTCCATGCAACTAACTTTAACAGTGTATTCAGTTGAATTAGATTCCAATGTTCTGAAAATGTGGTAGATACTTCTTGGAATGACACCAGAGTGTGTGTCAGTCACATCATTAGAATCTCTTCTTCCTTCCATACTGTAATTATTTGTAATTAATAATTAAGATTAATTGATATAAACTTACGTGTATGTTTTACCAGAACTGGTTTGACCATAAGCAAAAATTGTACAATTAAAACCATCCAAGGCTTCATCAACAATGGATTTGATGGATTCTTCAAAGAATTCTTTTTGTGTTGTTTGTGGACCATACACTCTATCAAAAGTAAATGTTTTTGTTATTTCCTTTCCATGAACAAGTTTTTGATGAATCTTTAATTCCTTTCTCATATATGGTAAGGTTTCAACAGAGATGGATTGTCCCTTTTCTTTATCATTAGGTGGTCTACATCTTAAAAGCACTTGCACATTCACTCCGGATTGTGTTGTAAAGTTAGATGATGATGATGAAGATGTTGTTGTAGTTGATATGGTATCGCTGCTCATTTTCGTATTGTATTCTATGTATAAAGATAAAGAATGTGTGTGATTAAATTAATAACCCCAGACTCCTTGTATATTAGTTTGTTTGTTAGTAATTAGTTGTGTACAGAAAACTACAGCAGATCCTCTGTGGTGTGGGGAGTTGATGTAATTTTTTTTGCTATTGTTTTGTGAAATTGAAAACAATTCCTAACGTTCTTGCATTCAAATTTTGGCGGCAAACATAACGGCAATAGATAGTCTTTGGGCGGTTTTGTCTGCCTCTTCCCTTAAAAAACCTTGAAAGTTTATTTGTGCTATCCAATTGAATCCAAATCTTCAACTCTTGATACAAGGTTGTTATTAAACATCAAACACACATTCACTTCTTATTTAAATAATTTACGTCATGAGAGGTTTTATTTAAAACCGTTTACCGCCTCAATATTTACGAGGCTGTTCAATCATCAAGTTTTCAAAAAAAATCAACCAGTTGTATTTCACTAGTAACACAATTTGTTCTTCATCAACAACGAGAGGATTAAGGAATTTAGCATCGGAATTTGAAAAAACATGTCAGGAAAGAAGGATCTGCAGACAGAATTATCCCCTAATGACTATAAGGTCTTTCAAGGGTTACAAAAGAAATGGAGATGCAAACTTTGCGAACAAGAATTTTATGTAGAATCACTGCCCGGAGCAATTTCATACAATTCAGTTTTGAAACTTCGATCAAGGTTTGTTTTTAGTACTTTATAGATGACAAATAATCGGAAATAGTTGGGGAATGAAAATTAAACCTGTTTCTCCAGCCTTACTGTATCAGAAAGTGCATGTTTGTGTGTTTTGTCTCCAATTTTTTGAATTCCAATTAGAAAAAGAGGAAAAAGATTTGAAAAAGGGACCAAAACCTGCTTCATCAGCTTCTATGAAGAAGTAGAAACATGTACAATAAATATATTAATTTAAATTATTTTTAATACTAGTATTCGTGCATAATTCGATTAATTTAATAATAACAGAGCCATCAAATAAATTCAAAAAAAATGGCTGACTTGACAGAACTTGAACGAGACATCATGGCGGAATGGGATTCACCAGCAACAACAAATGAAAACAACAATACAATGGAACAATCATCATCAGAGGATAACACAAATTCCGAATCCGATAGCACAAATCCCGAAAAGAAAAAACGGAAGATTGATCATTTAAATGTAGATACAACCAACGAGAATGGTAATAATTTAGAGCCTTCACTAGATCTCCCAACAACACCATCAACAACTCCAACTTTACCATCAGTGGAAGAACACGAACCTAAGGAAGAATACGTAAAAAAAGAAGAATATGACAAGTTGATAAAAGTACATACAGAAACAATAACGAAATTAACACACGAGTTCAAGTTGGTGACCGAAGAGTTCAAAAAAGAAATGTAAGTTTAATTACCACACATATTATTTACAAATAACAGTTCAAGACTAAATCAGGAGATTTCATCATTAAAACAAAAGAAACCTTAATAAATTATTCAATTTTTGCTGATCTCAATAATTCTCTTTCTTCAACTGCTTGCTCGTTTGATGCTAAGAAGTTGCACAATAACTCTTCTCCTATCTGTTGATCTTCAGTCCAACTCAAGCTTTCTTCCTCTAGTTCTCCATCCACCATTTCGTCTGTTTCTACATCCTGCATAAGGAGAGCATTGAGATCTTCCTCGTCATCCTCATCAAAATTACTATCCTCATCACTTGTCTCTTCCTTTGACAGCACATCTTGAATATATGCAATTTGTTTGGAAAGCTCATCTTCTGACATTTTTCTGATAATTTTAAGTTTATCCTCCAAACCATGATCTCTTGCCTGTTGTTTAAGGACATTTGAAAAACTAAGCACACTGTAAAGTGTTCCATGGACGTAAGTTCTTACTTGTGGACTTTCGTGTTGAATTAAATCCATCAACACAGGTATAATATCTGATCGTTCACAGGCTCTAATTGACACCTTTCCTAGACATAAATTCATCAATAGTGAAACACCATACTCAGTTGTGAAATCTCCACAATTTTCAGGATTGGATAAAATTTTGCACACTATATCAATTAAATCATTATTGACCATTTGTCTAAATTGAGGGGTTAATAAACAATTTGTATTGATTTGAAACTTACTGTTGAGGCTTTGATTTCACGCTTAGTTTTTGAAGAATGGAGACAACATTTTGTCTGATAATTGAGTCAGAGCGCTCCAATTCCAAAATTTGAATTAAATCCATAATGATGGTATTTTGAGTTAAATCTTTTGTCAAATAAACCACACCAACATTCTCAGTAGAGAAAATATTAATTAACCTCAATGTATATTCCACAACCATTTCATCCTTTGAAAAAAGCAAAGCTTGTAAGATTTTCTATGGAAAACCGATGTTTAGCCAATTTAAAGGTTTTCCATTTCAACTTACCTTCTCATTGTTTACAATTCCAAACAAATCATAGTAAATCATTGTCTTTAAGGTGTTAATCTTTGTTCTAGTATTTTGTGATTTTGAAATTCTCCATCTAAGAGCCTGTAATACATATGGTATCATTGGGTTGTTTGTTTCTTTGAGTAAGAATAACTTTAATTTTTGGTAATCTAGAGAAACGAATGTTGCTGAATGATCCTCAATATGATCATTACGTGGCTATCGAAGTTAAAAAATAATACAAATTACCCACTTACAATCATTGAAGGAAGAATTTCATCAATATGAAGAGAGCTCAGATTGTCTTGGACTACAGCCAAAAATTGCTTATTGAGCTTCTTCCCTTTCATAACTCCTGAAATTGCTTTCAATAAATCTCCACTCAATCCATATAATTCTCTATATTTTTCTTGAACGATGTCCATGTAGCTTCCCATTTCTTTTTTATATTGTTCCAAACCTTGTTTGTCGTTATTACCTAACCCAGCTGTTAATGTTTGTATTATAGGTATTGTTAGACACTTACCAATGGAGTTTGCAACATTAATAGAACTTGTTGTGTTAATATTATTAACAATTGAATGGAGATATGGTTGTTCAATACTTCTTGAAAAGGTGACATCGAGATAGCTCTTAACCTTATCAAATAAATCTTGCTTCCATTTGTCTTGGTACATTGAAGCAAAAGAAGGATGGCTAGATGGATCTGGCATGTAAGGAAAGGCATAATATGGGAGTAAATCAAAAAATGTTGACAAGATAGCTCCTTTCATATCCAAATATTGTTTAAATTCCACTGCATATTTGCGTTGTTCTTGTTTATCATTGTGTCTAAATGGAACTGTGGCAAAATAAAGTCTAATAAAGAATTCCAATTTGATGGTCTCTGGATCACTAGATCTTAACATTGGAGAAACATGTTTTTCCCACAGATAAAAGAAGTCCTTTGAGAGGTAAGAATCCAAAGCACCCATCATTTCATCTTTAATTTGATTTCTCTGAGATTCTGGCATGATTTTTGTTTTGTTATCCACAATTCTTGCTGATGTTGGTCTCTCGTTAAGAAGCCTATTATTAATTTCTTGCTCAAACATTGATGAAGTCTCCACAAATCCATGAAAATTCAAATATCTAACTTCCGATCAACTCTATAAATCGTTAAAAAACAACACATACTCTAAAATCCATCTATTAAGTTGGCTAATAGAGGTCTCACTTGTTTGATCCCTCTTAAAACTTGCCGATAGAGTAAAACTTTTTCTAAGCATGCTCATCTTGAATACAAAGGCTTGCTCTTTTCAAACTCTTTTTTTTGTAGTTGTTTTCGAAAGGCGCCAAATACAAGCGGCAAATGAAGTATTTTTGGGTCATCACAACAATATTTTTAAAAAGACAGGGATATTTGTGCTGCTTCTCTCTTCACGGCTTTTGTTGAAGCAAGCTCTGCTGGTGTCAGATGGCTGTACAGCACCCAACAATGTCCACCATAAAATTGAAGTATTAATCATCTAACAAGAATAAATTAGTTTATTACCAATTCTATTTAAAAGATTCAATCCTGATGATTTGGTTTTTATTCTTCATGTTGTAAACACATTGAATTTTTTTAAAAAATACCAACAACATGAGCTCATATTTTCGTGCTGCAAACTTTGTCGACAGTGACGAAGAGGAAGATCGTTCAGAAGAGGAAGTTTCTGAAGAAGAAATCACTGATTCTGAAGAAGAGGAAGAATCCACCAAGAAAAAAGGCTTCTTTAATAAAGCTAAAATGGTAGATTCTGATGATGAGGAAGGTTCTGATGAAGAATCTGATGAGGAAGATAAAGAAACAAAAAAACCAGCCAAAGAAGAACCTAAATCAGCACAATCCGAGCTTGACGATAAGAGGAAAAAATGGTTCCTTGAAAATTCGGACGAAGAAGAGGAAAGTGATTACTCTGATGATGAATGGGTATCAGAGGAAGAAGAAGAAGAAGAAGAAAGAGCTGAAGTCAAGTCTCACAGAGAAAAGTATTTAGATGAATTGCGTGAAATAACTGAAAAGGTTCAAGATAGTATTATGGACAACAACTGGAAGGTTGTTTCTGACGATATTGTTGAAGTCGGCAAGGTTCTTGAAAAGATTCAAAAATTAGATGAATACAAAGGAAAGAAGAAGGTTCCTAATCTTTATGTTAGATTCTTGGTTTATTTGGAAGATAGATTGGAAGAAGCCAAGGATAAGAAAGCCGATTTAAAAACTAATGATGCCAAACTTCTCACAACACTTTACAGCAAAATTAAAAAGGCCAACAAGCCATACGAGGAATTGATGAAGGCATGTAAAACTGAACCAGAAACTTACCAAGATACTGAAGATGAAGCCGAACCTGTTGTTAAAGTTAAACAACCAAAGACATCATCAGTTCCACTCAATGATATCCAAAGGCTTATGGCTGATTTAACATCAGGCACTATTGAAGAAAAGATTGCTGAAATCGGAAGAGTTAAAGGATACAAGGGAACTAATCCAAAGGAATCACTTCTTCAATTGAAGATTCTTTTGGCTCACTCCCATGAACCAAAGACTAGAATTCAATTATTGCTTTTGATTGTTCTTACTAACTTTGATTTACCAAAGGGAACAAATAACTACCTTTCAATTGATACTTGGAAAAATGCTTGTTTCGGTCTTATTAGACTTGTTAAACTTATTGAGGATCATCCTGAATTAGTTATTGTTGAATCTGTTGATCAAACATTGGGTGAATCACTTCCTGAAGGTGAAACCTCTGAACCTAACAAAGCTGGTCAAGTTGTCATCAAGGGTAATATTGCATCAATTTTGGAAAGATTGTACGATGAATTTATTACTAGCTTGCAATATACTGATCCACATACACAAGATTATGCAAAGAGATTGAAGGATGAATACTTGCTCATTGAAGCTGGAGAAAGAGTCTATACATTCTACTCTAAGAGAAACAATAAGAGAAATCTTGCTCGTGTTGCCTTCAAATTATTTGAACATTTATATTATAGAAAGCAAGAAGATCACGATAACCTTCTCTCTGCCCAAAGAACCAATGCTCTTAAATCACTTGAAGAAGCTAAGGAAAATTGGATTGCTGAAGAAAAGCTCATGGTTTCAACAGAAGTTACTCCAACCGTTGACCCATTCGTTATTGACTCGCCGGATGTCATTGAACCAAATCTGACGAAGGTTTTGTCCCATCTCTCTACTATCATATATGAAAATGGAACAGAACATTCCAAGATACGAACACTCTTGATGCACATTTATCACAGAGCTGTTTATGGTAAATTCTTTGAAGCTAGAAATCTCCTTGTCACCAGCAAATTGCAAGATACTATTAATCATTTTGATATTCCAACCCAAATTCTTTTCAACAGAGTTATTGCTCAAATTGGTATCTGTGCTTTCAAGAATGGTTTGATCCAAGAATCTCATAGTGCTTTGCTTGAACTTTACAGTTCTCAAAAGCAAAAAGAATTGCTTGCTCAAGGTTTGTCAAGCAACAGATTCCAACCACAAACTGGTACTGTTCAAAAGAAGGAACAAAATGAAAAGATTGAAAGAAGTAGATTGATTCCATACCATCAACATATCAGTGTTGACTTGATTGAAGGAATTCACTTGATCTGTGCATTGCTTTTGGAAGTTCCAAATATGGCTATGCATTCATTCTCCAACGTTAAGCCTAAGGTTATTAACAAGGCTTTCAGACGTGTTTTGGAAAACTTTAGCCGTCAACACTATGTTGGTCAACCAGAAAATACTAAGGAACGTATTAACTCTGCTTTCCATTTACTTTCATCAGGTGCTTGGGAAGAAGCTTACAAGACCCTCCTTGCTTTGGAAGATATATGGAGCTTGATTCCTGACAATGAACCTGTTAAGGAAATGTTGAAGAAGAAGGTTAAGGTTGCTGCATTGAAGGCCTACATTTTCAAGTATAGCAGACATTATGAAACATTCTCTGTTGATTTAATGGCTAAGATGTTTGATCTCCCATCTCCATCTGTGCATTCAATTGTCAACAAGATGATCATTTCTGAAGAATTCTATGCTGCTTTTGACCAAACCAACAATACTATTGTCGTTTATCACTCTGCCCCAACTCCACTCCAATATCTTGCCCTCCAATTGTCAGACAAAATTTCCTCCCTTGTTGAATATAACGAAAAGCTTTATGAAGCCAAGCAAAGTAATACTGCTTACGTTGTGATGACTGATCACAAACAAGCAAAGAGATCAAAGCAAAAGAACTCAAAGCAAAATCAAAATCAAAAAGGAAACAGAACAAACAACAATAATAACAACAACAAGCACAATAATCAAAGAAAGCACAACCAGAAGAAGGAAAAGACTGAACCAGCCGCTGTTGAACAAAAATAAATAATAAAACTAAAATTATTTTCTATTTATTATTGCACTTCTTGGATAATTCTCTAAGTTTTCTCGTTTTACAACCTTATTTGCAGGTATCTTGCTCTGTGAACAGAAATACTGAACAGTTGTATCAGAAAATTTCCTCTTGTGGGTTGGAGTTGTAGAAATTGTCATGGGTGAGTCTGGTGTTATAAAGCTCGAGTTTGTACAATCTCCCAAAATCATCCTACTTCTTTCATTAATCTGTTTCTTTTTTTCTGAATCCTTTCCCAATACTGCCTGGACTGAGTTTGAGATTCGTTCACAACTGGTCATTTTCTCTTCAAATGACTGGTCACGGAAATTCTCTATCATCTTGTCCATGGCAGACTTTTCAACCATTAGTAACATTTGTTTCAAGGTACATGTTTTTTGCTCCACCATTTCAGAAACCAGTTTTTCAAATGTTGAAAGGCTATAATGAAGGGCTGTTAAATGAGCCAACCTCTCACTCATAAGGTAGATTTTCGTATCATCTCCACACTTTTTGGTTATGAGCATATTTTCAAATTGAACATGTGTTTGTCTCAAATAATCTACACTCATTCTCAACTGCTTTAACATTTCAGAAACAGAGTCGACTGTATTTTCTCCAATTTCCTTAGATCCAGTAACAAAGGCTAAAAAGAGGGCTCCCAACCTGAATACATCTTTTTCTATTTGTGATTTTCTTGTGTTTGGATCTGAAGGAAGTTGTTTGTAGAGATGAGAGCTCTTTGGAAAGGTTAATTCTCTCACTTCTGTTTGTACATCTGGTATGTAAACAGTAGGAGATTCGCTCTCCTCAGATTCAGACATGTAAGGACCTGTAGATGTAGAATTTGAATTCTTTTGTTGAGGGGAAACTGAGGTTATTTTGAACTTGATACAATACTTGTAAAGGAGATGTGATATAGAACAATCTGCTTTTCTATGACAAAACTTCATAAATTCGAATAGAGGATTTACAACATCTTTAATAAGACGATCCATCTTTAACATTAAGGTATAGAATGGCCTATCTTGTTTGATACTATTTACGTAATCAACTTGTTCTTTAGATAATCCTTTCTTTGCAGATTTATCAAAAGATGCAACCTTACAAATGCTAATAGAAAGCAATATTATAATAAAATTGAAATTAATTTCAACCATACCTCAGTATATCTCTAGAAACTGTATAAAAATCACCAACAAATGATCTGCAGGTGCAATTCTTAAAGATTTCAATCTTGAATCGATCAGAAGAGCCAATAGATTCTGAAATTTCTCTGAAGAATCCCAGAATGTGTTGAACAGCTGCCTTGTTATTAACAGCTCTAATATACTCTTCACAAAACGTTTTCAGACTAATGTCAGTAGAAAAGATTGAGTTTTCGAAAAGTTTCATTGAAGGATCCTGTTGTTGATGATCTTCGTCGATGAATGGAACAATGGCAACTCTGTCGTTGCTGGGCCGTAATGAGTTATTATTATTTGTATTGTTGTGTTGAATGTTCATATTACAACTATTATTAATACTATTAGAAGTGAAACTCTGTGATGTAATCCTAACCATGATATTTACAAATCCATGAAGGAGATGGTTAGATGATTCAATGAGTAAGTTAGCTTCGGAAGCTAATCTTGGTGTATCCAACACGAAAAACAAATTAATACTTTTGCCAACAGCATCTGTAATGAAGAAACCTTTGGGACAAACAGTATCATGTGAGTAACACAGTGTTCTATTAAATAAACAATATACATGTCTAAATAATATTGCAAAATCCGTGTCCTGTTGATTCAAAGCATGAGCAAAGGTTTTGACTTTGATAATGTTCTCCACGGTTGTTGTTGTGCTGGATGGCATTTTAGTATTTTATTTGCTTTGTTGTTAAATTGGCGGGAAAACTTCTCGACATCTTCTGGTCAGTTCTAATCGGTTTTCCACTCTCTTTGAGAAAATGTAACCATGTTGAGGTACAAATAAAGAGTGACGAGATATTATATCATTCTATTGTATGGAAATTTACTGTGTAAATTGATTAAGGTTCTTTACATTTTAGCATATTCAGCCATAGCTTTTTGCAACAATTCAGCAACAGCTTCTCTTGTTTTTTCATTGAGAGTTTCAACATCCTTTTCCAAAGTCATTCCTTGAACACTAATTGGTTCTCCGACAACAATTGCTGCTTTACCTGGTGTTGGAAGAGCTTCTTCAATACCCCACATAGTGAATGTACCATACAAACCAATTGGAACAATGTCAGCTCCTGTTTCTAAACTCATAATTGAGGCACCCTTCTTCCATTCCAAAAGTTGGTCAGGTGTGGAAGATCTTCTTCCTTCAGGGAAGAAAAATACAGCATTATCATTACGTAAATGTTCTTTGAGCTTATTCATGGCAGATTTAACAGAATCTCTGTCAGTACTCATATCATCCATTTTCTTGCTCTTGAAAACAATTGGAACATCTCCGGCATTTGACATCATTCTTCCAGCAAATGGAATTGCAAACAAATCACTCTTTGAAACCCATTTAGTTTCAATTGGTAAAGCACCACAAATTAATGCAAATGGATCCATATTACTTTGATGGTTGCAAACAAAAATAGTTTTCTTCTCTTGTGTTGGTAAACTATTCTTGTTGACATGTTTAACAGAGAGTTTCCAGTATGGATTTGATTTAACAACAATTGCAGTTGCTGTACGGAAAATCTTTCCCATCAATGTCCTCTTGGAATCAAATCCCAAATATTTATGCAA